TTTTCATTCTCCATAAAAAACATAAATAAAAAAGCAATTTATTCCTATAAAAATATCTCCTTAATAATAAGATTTGCTTTTAATTCCTCATCAATAATAAATATAAACATCGCCAATAAAAGGATGTGAAATAAATTTGAATAAAAAAGAATTATATAATAATAAGTTAATATACTAAATGAACCAAAGAGAAAATTATATAGAAGAAATGAAATAAGAAATCGAATATTGTAAAAAATAAAATATTGAATTGAAGAGAAAAATGGAACAAAATCTTTTTGATAATCAAAGAAATGAAAATCATGATAAATATACTTAAGATTTAAACAATGCAAACTAAGATTATTTTTTTTAAATAACATAATTAAATGAATAAATAATTTTTTTAAAGAAAAAAAATAAAAGATTAATTTAAGAACTTAAAGAAAAAAACGAAAACGAAAAATAAAATAATATTAAAAATACGATTTTTTAAGATGAAAAAGATAAACTGATAAAATAACTAGAATTAAAAATATAAGAAAGTGAACTAAAAAATAAAGAAATGGAAAATATAATATAATAACTAATGGAAAAAAATGAAGAGAAAGAAAAAAAAAATTTAAATATGAAATAAAAAATTAAAGAATTATTAAAAAAATAAGAAAAATAAGAAAAAAATATTGTTGAATACAAAAATTAATAATAAGTTAATTTATTAGAAAAATAAAAGGAAATATTAAAATTAAATTCTTAATTGGATCATGCTAAAAATATTCAAAATTTAGTAATTGAAAAAGAAGATTATTTATATAATTAGAAAAATTTTGATAATAAAATTATTGAATTGAAAAATGAGAACATTTATTTGAAATAATAAATTGAGAGAATTTCACAAAGAGAATATTAACTATATTAGAAATATAAATTAATTCAATAAAAAAACGATTTATTTGATAAAAATAAATATTAAGAAAACAATAAAAGTATTTTTTTTTTATTTTTTATTCTTTTTTTTTAAAAAAAAATTAGGGTTTAACTCTTTTAGTAGTTCTGAATATAATGAAGAATATGTTAATTAAAATATATAAAAGTTAGATATTTAAAGTAGAAATTATGAGGAAGAATGATAATATTTATAAAAAAAAAAATTATGAAACAGAAAATATTATTAATTATTAAAAATATAATTAAATTTGTATAAATAAATAAAAAAATGTAAAAAAATCAAGATTTTTGTTAAAATTGTAAATAAAAAGAACATTAATTGAAATAAATGTAAAAAAACATTTTATTTTCAATAAATATAACAAAAAATATAAAAAAAGATAAACAAAAATAAAAAAAGCAAATAAAAAAAATACTGAATAACATAACTAGTTATAACCTTTTTTATAAAAAATAGATTAAATAATAAATATTCTCAAATTTAAAAAATAATCTTAAAATAATTAAACTTCTTAAGGTTCTTTATTTTTATAAATGTAATATTTTTTTAAATAAAAAATTAAGAATAGTTATAAAAAGAATTAGAAAATGTAGAAAATATAATACATTTTAATACTGAAACACTTTAAAATTTATAATAAGAAAATAAATAATATAATTTATAAAAGTAAGAAAATTACATTTTTATACAAAAAACAAAAATTTTTGTTAAAAAAAAAGATTAATTGATCTCTAAGTAATTTAGAGAAATCTAATTTAAAAATATTAATTAAGATAAAAAAACATATAATACTCTAAAAGAAGATATAAGAAAATAAGAAAATCTTCTCAAAAACGATAAAAAAATAGATTAAATTACTAATGTAATTCAAAACTTATCTATAATTTAAGAATAAGTACTTGAATAGGAATACATATTATAAAAAAGGAAAGCAGATAAATAAAGGCTATAAGAAAAAATAAATATATTAGAAGAAAAATTACAAAATATAATAAATAAAAACGATAAAAAACCAGAAAATAAGAAATTATATTCCATAAATAAACAAATATAAGCTAAAATATTGAAAAACTTGAAAAAAACATTATTTCATTTAGTAAAGCCCATAAATAAAAAATAAAAGAACTTCAGGAAACAAATATAAAATTATTGTAAAAAAAATATGAAACTGAAATACAAATAAATTAGTTCAATAAAGTACATTTTTTTACTTTTTTTCTTTTTAAATTTTTTTTTAAAAAAAAACAGCATTTATAAAAATCCTCAGTAAAATTACATTCTTTTTATTAATCTACAAAAAATATATAAGATAATTTAAGAATATAAACTTTTGGTGTATCTAAATAAACTTAAAATAATATTGTTTGGAATGAATTTGATAAAGTTTAGGATATAAAAGTTCCTTTTGTTTTAAAAAGTATTAAGCTTTTGCAAAAAGATGAATTTATTGTAGGAATATATGTTAATTATTTATAATAAAATAAATAAGAAGCATGTTTTGGTTATTTTTAAGATTTAGAAAGAACTAGTTTTCAAGAAATAATATTAAAAGATAAAGAATAAATTGAAATAATAGAAGGATAATATGGAGAAAATAACATTAATTATTTAAAAATAAAAACAACAGGATTTTAATAAATAAATATAGGTAATAAAAAAGAAGGAAATTAAATTAATTTTTCTTTTCAAAAAATGCCAAATGAAGAAATATTTTGCTTTTAAGGAATTTTTAATTTTTTAGAAGATAGTATAACATTTTATTTTTTTATTCTAATTTTTTCATTGTTTTTTTTTTGTTTTTTTAAAAAGTTTAAATTTATGTACTTAGTAGTTTTGGAGTTTTTTTCAAAATAAAGGAATTCTCTATGCTTTAAAAAGAAAATAATAAAATTAATATTTAAGGAGAAATATGATTTTTTTGTAACTATATTTTTGTTTTTATATATATATATATATATATAAATTAGATAAAAATGTTTTTATATATATTAATTATCTCTAAAAGTATCAAAAAAAATATTTTATTAAAATTAAAAATATTTTTAATTGAAAATTTATCTTAAAAGTTTTATAATAATATTATTCTTTAAAAAAAAAAAAAAAAAAAACTATGATAACTTGTTGTTTCTTTGAAATTATTAATTTAAATATAATAAACTTAATTAATTTTATTTTTTGAAAAAAAATCATATAATAAAATCTTTTTTAAAAAAAATAAAATAAAATAACCTCTATCTATAAAGTCTTTTTTTATCTGGGTTTCTTTTTTTAAAAAAAAATATGTTTTAGATTGTAAAAAAATTAAACAAAAAACTTTCTAAAGTTTATATTTTATTTTTTTATTTTTAAAAAAACATATTTAGAAATATATCTTTATTTTTTTATATTTATAATTATAATATTAATATTAGAATAAATAAAGAAATAAATTTTTCATTTATTAGAAACAAAAAAAAAAATAAACAAAAAAAAAAAAATGTCTTCATAAATCCTTCTATAAACATAAATAAAAAACCTATTTAATTTATTAAACGAAAACACAGCAAAAGTAAACAGATATTTTGAAACTGGAGAAGAAATAAATTTTACAAATAAAGATTATACAAATTTAGTTAAGTAGAAAAAATAAATAAAAAAAAAATAAAAAAAAAAAAAGCTAAACAAGATTATTAACAAACACAGAATAAATAAAAAGTTGGGTAATAAAACAAATAGAAGAATATGTAAATAAAATAGTGAAACAACTTCTCTTTTTGTAAAGTTAAAATCCAACAGGAATAAGTTTAATAAATTTAATATCTACATAATACAATAATTTCCTCATCCTAAATTTATGGATTTCTAAGTTTTTTGTACATCATTAAAACATTGACCTTTTTTTCTAAAACTTTAAATTTTTTAGAAAATAATATTTTGAAAAACTTTCTATATAATTAATTGAATCAGTTTTTAAAGCCGTTTAAGAAGCAAGGCAATCTGAAGATTTTACTTAAGAAAATATAAAATAAGTTATTCAATTATTTTATGATTAAGGGTTTAAAAGAGAAGTTAAAGTCCATTTAAATTTATAAACTGGAAAAATAGTTGTAGATAGTGATGCTCATATTTTAAATTAAAATTAAAATAAGGATGAGGATGATGAAGATCTTATAAATTATGATTTTTATAAAGAGAAATTTTAAATACCTTATATAAAGAATGTAAAATATATATAAATATATATATATTTTAGATTTATAAGCAATGTATTTATTTAAATTAAATTGTATAATAACTATCTTCAAAATTAACTTCTGATTATGTAAGTGATGTATTAAATATAATTTAATTTGAGGATAAATTTGCACATAATTATTATCCTAAATCTAAACTTTTAATTTAATAGTAAATAAACGAAATTCTTATAAAAAATTAATCTGAAAAAATTCTTGATTAATAATAAGGAATTTTTTACATGTTAAAACACAAAAAGAACTAAGAATTAAAACAGCTTTTTTTTTTACTAAATAGAGATTAATCTTCTCTTGAAAGAATGGGGGAATTTCTAAAAAAATATTATGAAAAATTAATTATTGATATATATTCTGAATAGGATTAAAAGCTTAAAAATTTTAAACCTACTCCAATTAAAACTCTAAATGATTATAAAAGTATTTATTTATTAAAGATAATTCTTTATATTATTTATTATAAAAATTAGAGGATTTAGCTTTGTAATTTGTTTTGGAAATTATTTAGTTAAAAAAAGATATAGATGAATAAAATAAATTGTTATTTAATGATAATATTATATTCTAAAGAAATACAAATCTTTCTTTTTATTAAGGATTAATTCCTTGTAAAGCTTCAGCAAATAATTTAGCTATTTATTGTGATACTTTAATGAAAACATGTATATTTTATATATCATAACTTATTTTTAAATTTTTCTAAATAAAAACAGAGTAAAATGATTAAGAGTTTTTACAGAAAAAAACAGAAATAATATAATTCTTTGGATATTTATCAACATAAAAGGATGAATTTTTAATTACATTCCAAAAGCAATTATGTAGAAGGTTGATAACTTTTTCATCTAAATCTTTATAATAAGAGAAATAATTAATAACAGATTTTAAAGTAAAAATAATATCTATTTTAGTATAGTTTTTTTTTTTTTTTTTTTTTTTAAAAAAAAAAAAAAAGAATAATGTAGGTGCCTTATCAACAATATAAAGAATTTAAAATATGATATAAGACATAGAAACAAACGATAATTACAGAAGCTTAAATGTAAGCTAAAATATATAAATTTATATTTTAAACAGTGTAGCTTGGCCTTTGAAAAAAATATAAAATGATTAAACTTCATTTCCGAAATGCTTTTAAGCCCAAATGGATTAATATTTAAAACAATACTAAAATTCATATAAAAATAGAAAGCTTGTTTGGCTTTTTAATGAGGGTTCTGCCGAGCTTCTTTTTGTAAGCAATAACAATAAATACTTTTAAGGAAAATATGCATTAAAATCAAATACTTATCAAATGATTATTTGTTTATAAATTAATGATGAGAAAAATTACTAATGTACTTTAAAAGATCTTTAAATAAAAACGAAAATTCCAAAGGAAATTTTTGATATAAATTTGATTCCGCTTATTAAAAATAAGATTTTGTAACTTGAAGGAGGGTAAAATAACCAGCTAGAAAGTATTATAAAAAACCAATTAGAAAGTATTGTTAGTATAAATACTTCTTTTGAGAATTAAAAAAAAGTTATTTTTGTTGTTCCTAAATAATTTACTTATGTATTTATTAATTTTTTATTATTTTAAAATCTATTTTTTTATATATATAGATTTCATAAAAAGAATAAGAAAATATTGATAAAGAAGTTGAGTAATCAAGAGTTATGATTATCAAAGCTTATATTGTGAGAATTATGAAATCTAAAAAAGTTATGAGTTATAAGGATTTACTTGAAGAAACTATTAATTTAGTTAAAAATTGCTCAAAAACATTCTATCCAAATGTAAAATAATTTAAAAAATGTATAGAAGACCTCTAAGATGACTATATTACTAGAAGATAAGAAGATCCTAATACTTTTGATTATGTCCCATGATGATTTATATATAATTATTTATTTATTTTTTTATTTATATCTTTTAATATTATTTAATTTTTTATTAAATTTAAATAAATTTTCTTTTATTTATTAATTATATTTAATTAATAAATATTTATAAATGTATATATTTTATTTCAATAATAATAATTTTTTATATTTTATTTATTCAATATAATATTAAATTATTTGTATTTTTACCTTAGTTTTTGTATCATAAATAAAAAAAAATGTTTTTTTTTTAATAAAACTATATTTAAAAATATAATAATATTTGGTAAAATAAATACTTAATATATAAATAGAATTAAAAAATAAAAAATTTGAATATAATTTTATAAATATTATAATTTAAAAATATAATTTTTATTTATTTTTAGTAATTTGTTATTTTATTATATATTAATTTTATTATTTTTATTATTTTATTACTTTTATTATTTTTATTAATAACTATAATAAAAATAAGATAAATTGAATTAAAAATGATTTAATAAACTACTAATACTATTTTTTTTTAAAGTTTAGATATAAGTAGAATTTTTAAATATTAAAAGACTTTAATATTTTTAAGTTTAATTTTTTTTTAATAACAATTATATGCTTTTCATAAAAAGAATATACTTTTTCTCTTTTTTTTTTTTAGTAAGTAATATTAATCCAGTATATTTTGATAATTTTAACAAAGAAAATATGTGATTACTAATTAAAATATTTTACAAGAAAAGCATTTATTTTTTGGATATAATTAAGATATTTAATAAATTTTATAAATATATTTTTTGGATTTTATTTTTTGTTTTTTATTTAAACTGCTAAATATTTCAATAATATTACAATTAATATTTATATATATCTTTTTAGTTAATTTCTATTATTTAATAAACTTTTCTTGTATATTTATGTGGATATACTTCTTTTTATTTTTCATAATTTCATTTCGAAAAGAATATAAATAGAAATATAATTAATGCAAAAAGTAAATTTGATTATAATCAAAAAGAATGCTCAATATGCCTTGAAGAATTTCAGTTTTAAGAAAAAAACTAAGAATAAAGTTTTGAAAATAAAATTCTTAAACTTTCATGTAGACACTAATTTCATTACGAATGTATTCAAAAATGGATTAAAATTTCAACATAAAATAGTAAATGCCCAATGTGTAGATATAGTATTTAAGTTTGAAAAAAAAAAAAAAAAAAATAATTATTTGTTCATATTGTTTTTATTTATTTTTACTTAATTTTATTTTTTAAAAAAACATTATCAATAAAAATTAATATTAACCTTGTTTTTATAATTGAACTAAAAAAAAATACAGAAAAGATAAAATAAAAGTAAAATAAACGAAAAATATATTGAGTATAAACAATTGTTTTTTGGATTCGAATCTAAATTCAGATTCAAGTTTAATTTTGCATTGGATTAAATTGAATTAAATTAATAAACATTAAATTCGAAAAAAGAAGAATTCAATAAATATTTAATTTTTTAATGGGTGAGGGCAGAATATTGTTTTAAAATATTAATTGCTTTATTTTTTGTTTTATTTCAAAAGCATCAATTCATATATTTAAATTTTTATAATGAAAAAATAAATAAAAGTACACTATTTATAATTTTTTTTTGTATTTTATAGATATAACAATATTTTTTATTTAGTTTAATATATAATTTATTTGTTCATATATTGTTTTTCTGTATTTTTTATTAAAAATAAAGACATAAAATAAAAATTCCTAATTCATATTTTATTTTGATTTAAATTAATTGTTTTTCAATAGTTTTTGATAATTATGATTTAAAAAATAAATTATAATTGTTAAGAAAAGCATTAATTTGCTATTTTATAATTAATAATTATATAAAATGTTTTATTATTAATTAGATTATATAATTTATTTTACATTTAGTAATATTGTCTTTGAGCGGAAACAATAGTTTTATTCTATTAATGTCACTTTATCTCAAAAAAATACTAAGTCTACTTATAAAGCTAAATATAAACTAAGCTTTTGATGTGGATTGTATTTTTTTATATACAATGTGGAATACTTGTTAATTAATAAATATAAAGATATAAATACTTTAAAAAATATTTGTTTCTTAATATTATCAAGTTGTATTAGGGATAAAATAATTTGTTTTGTTCAGATCTGGCTTACTTGCTCTCATTATATAGGTTTTGTATAAATATTTTTAAAAGAAGAAAAAAATAATTATATTTAAAAATGTAAAACTGCTATAAATCTCCTATAAGACCCATTGAGGACTTATGGGCATATCTAAAATGATTAATTTATGAAGGTGCTTGGAATGCAAATTGAATAAAATAACTTAAATGAAGAAAGAAATATTGTTTATTAACAATATATTTTATTTAAGTTTGGCTCTCATAATACACTTAAAATTTTAAAAGGATTAAATATATTAACAAGTGAGAAAACTTTAATAATTAAAAATTATATATGTATTTAATATTTTTGGTGTTAATTTTACTTTATTAAATAGCTTTTGCTTTGCTAATTAAAAATATTAAATTTTTAAATTATAATATTAAAAAAAATAAGTGAGAAAAGCTTTAAAATGATTTAGTTAATAATATATTAATAGTTTATAATTAATATATAAATATCAAAATTTCTATAACACTTATAAAATATAATAGATAAATTTTATTAAACTTAATTTATTTATTTTTTAAACTAATATGAAAAATTATAAGAAATTAAGGATTAATTAGTTTTAATAATAAAAATTATTTTAATAATATTGGAAACCATATGTAAATAAGAATCAATTAATTAAGAATTGAATTATGAATATAAAAATGTTTAAGAAATTATTTGGGAAAAATAAAAATCTGTAATTGAAAAAGTTTGATGTATGCAAACAATTCCTAGGTTTAAAATTTATTAAAATTATATAAATATATAGTTTCTTAATAAATAATAAATTTTAATTATTAGAATTATATACGAATTCAAATATTTTAAAGATTTATTTGATTAGATAAATAATAAAATTATTTAAAATAAAAATTTACAGACTTAATTCAATAAATTGAGTGATTTTATATTAAAAGTTTTGTATTTCCCTATAACTACTTAAGTTGAGCGTAGTTTTTCATATTATAAATCCAAAAAAGAATTGGCTAAAAGTTAACAAAGGAATTGACTAAAAGTAGACAAAGGAATTGTCTAAAAGTTAACAAAGCAATTTAAATATTAATATTATACATCAAAATATAAATAATAAAGTTAAAACAAAATATATAAAATATATTAACAATAAAATGTATTTTTCATATAATCATATATACTTAATTTTTAGTATAATTAATATATAAGTTTAAAATTTCACAAAAAAGTAATTTTAAATTGATTTATATTTTTAATTAAATATTTAAATTTAAGAAAAATAATAACTTTCAGCTGAATATTTATTATTTTTTTAAAAAATATTATGTATCATTAAAAACACTTGAATTATAAATAAATCCTAATTTTATAATAATATCAATGAAAACCATTTTCTTTAGTAACTCTTTGGAGAAAATGAACTCAAGAATAAAAATAAAAATAAAAACAAAAGAAAAGAAAATAATTCTATAAATAAATAGAATTTATGATAAAAATATACAGAAATTGACAAATAAAGAACCTTAAAATTGAATAAGAAACTGAAAAATCGAAGATAAAAGTGAAAAATTGAAGAAGAAACTGAAAATTAAAGAATTAAAAATTAAAAAATTTCATAAAAATTATTATCTAATATAAGAAGATTTTTTTAAAAAATAAAAAAATAATATAAAACATTACAAGTATTAAAATAATAATTAAAGTCGTTATTTTAATATAAAATATAATTAATTATAAAATTATTTTATAAAAATAACTTATTTTTATCTTTACACTTAAAAAAATAAATTAAAGACTAAGGAGAATAACTCTTTTAAGAAAGGTATTTAACTCAAATATAAATGAAGGTTTTTTTTGAAATTTTTAGAAAAAATATGAAAAAAGTGTATAATAACAAAAACTTCGAGTACGTCATTTTTAATGATTAAGTTTTTTTTTTCATGGCTAGAGTACTTCATAAATAACAAATCTTAAACTTTAAACAAATACAGTTTAAGTAAATTAAATATAATGTAAAAGATCTTTATGTGGCTGGTAAAAGATGGAAAATTTTATTGAGAATTACTGTCAAAAGAAGAATAATAATAGTGTTTTTTTACAAAATATGGATCTTAGAAAAAAATGAAAGAAAAACATTCTATAGATAAGCCATTAATAGTTTTTTTTTTTTTTGAAATCAAATTAAAAAGAGAAATAAACAAAGAGTTATAATCTAATAAAAGTTTTAAATTTCCAATGGAACTGAATATATATATTTAATTATTTTTTACAGAATAAAAGAAAAATTCTATTTAATTAATAAATTTGTAAATTTATAAGTCATAAAAATGAAAAAAATACATAGATCTATATTTAATAAATACAGATACTTTTAAAAAAAAGAACTCAATAAATAAAAAAATTAAATATTTGGCTCATATTAATAAAAAATGTGATTAATAAATTATAACTTAATAGTGTATATGAAAAATTTATGAATGTTTAAATCTTTTATTTTATATATTCTTTATTTTTATTTAATAAAATTTTTTAAAATACATAAATCAAAAAATAACTATTTCGATTATTATTTGCTACACAAATTTTTTAGAATATTCTAGGAAATTTAAATAATAGGAAACAAATACATAAAAAACATTTATAAATATAGTTTAAAAAGTTGATTTTAATTTTTAATTTTTTAATATAATGGATAATGAAATAATACTATCATGTGTTTTGACTATTTTTTTTTTAAAAAAAAAAACCAAAAAAACTTTGATATTTTTTAAAATTTTATGGTCAATTTAAGAATCAAAAAGTAATATTTAATAAGAAAATAAAAATTAACCTTTATTAATTAATATAATGTAAACAAAAAAATATATATTATTAATAAATTATTTAGTTATATTATTTTATTATAAAAACAATCAAAGAATAAAAGTCATTATTTTAAAAAACATTAAGGAAACAATAAAAATTTATTATATAATATCAATATATTAATAATATATAAAATATATTAATAGAAGCGAAATAATATATAATAAAAATTTATATAATATTTTTATATATTTTATTAAATAGTAAATATATATTTAGTTATTTTTTTATTTTATTATTCATATTATTTTTACTTCTTTTTTTATATTCCCAGTTATTTCTTTCATCTTTCTGAATTTTTTGTATTTTTTCGAATATTCTAAAATTTTATTAAGGCATTTTAGTATCTTTCGATTGAAACCTTTTTTCCTATTTTTTGAAAAGTTATTAATTTTGATACTTTAGATATAAAACTTTAATTTTTGTGTATTAGTTTTGAAAAATGGTTAGGAAGAAGGGGGTGGGGGGGATCAAAAATAAAAAAATATTTAAAGTATATAAAATTTAATAAAAAAACAAATAAAAGAAAATATTAAAATAAAATAAATTTAGAACTTTTATTTAAAAATATGTAAAAATTATTTTAATAAATAAAATTAAAGTATTTTATAATAAATCAAGCTTTATTTCTCAATTTTATATATTTTAGACATTCCTATACAAATAGAAATGAGGAGAAAAGAAAGAGCTGAAATGTATAAAAAGTGGAAATAATTGATATTTCTTTATTTATTAATTTTTTATATTTTAAACAAATTTATATCAAAAAATAATAAAAATCGTCAAAAATTAAAAATCCGAAAATATTAACATATCAAGTAAAACAAGTGATAAGAATATTAAATCTTGGATTTTAGGAGCTCTAAAAAATTAAGAAAAAATATATGTCAAAGCCTGCGGTTAAGCTAATAACTATTTAACTAAACAAATTAACTTATTATTCAGAAATGAACTAATAAAACTTAATGATATTAGGTATGAATATGCCCTTTATGACAATGATCCTTAAACCGCAAAAATAGTTTATATATACACTCTTTAAAAAGGAATAAAATATGATATAAATCATAAAAGCGAAGAAATAATAAAAATTATTAAAATTAAAATAATTAAACATAAAATTAAAATTTTGAATTATCAAAAAACCCTTATAATAATTAATAAAGAAATAATTAATATAGAAATTTCTAGAACAATAATAAAATCAAAAACAATTAATAAGAAAACTTCTGCAAATTTTATTCTAAAGGTTTTTGTAGATATGGTTAAAATTGTAAATATCAACATAGTTTCCCTGATAAAATAAACAATAACAATTATAAGCAAAATGATAATAATTAATAATACACAAAAAAAAACACTAAATAATTAGAGAACCCAATTTAAAAATAATAACATTAATAATATTCTTAGGTATAAGAAACCTAAAAAATTAATGAAGATAAATAACTACAAAAATATAATGAAAGTATCTAAATTTGCGAAGAAGCAAATTATTAAACATAAAAACTTTAAAAAGAAATATAAGAGGTTCTAAAAGGTTGCACATAAAATCCAAAAGAATAATAATAAACAACTGATTTGTAAAACTATCCCATATTTAAATAAAATAATAAAGATAGAATAAATTAATTTAAAAGTAATATATAACAAAAATCAAAAAAGAACTCCATCCATAAAATCATGAAATAAAATAGAGACAAATCCGCAAACTAACAAGTTGGGAGTAATTAAATAACACAACACACATAATGAGACAATTGATAAACCAAAATCCCAATCAACTATATAAAATAATATATATATATAAACCTATAAATATTTATCCACACTAAAATAAAAAAATAACATTTAAAAATAAGAAAAGAACATAAAAAATCCTATTAAAACCTAATAATAATCAGAAGAAATAGAAATTGAAATAATAGGACATAAAATAAGAGGAATAACATACGAAACATATGAATAAAAATTCAAAGTTATTCAAAAATACAATTATATTCATAATAATATATACTAAAATATAAACGATAAAAATAAAATTAATATATATTCAATATTAGAATCTAATTTTAAAAATCCCGAATAAAAAAATGGAAAGAAAATATTAAAAATAACCGATAATATTATAATAAATCACTGTGAATAATAAACAGGAGCAAGAATAATAACATTCACAAATTATAAAAATATAAACAAATATTTACTTAATATTAATAGCTAACATATATAAATAAATTAAATATGGATTAACAGGGTATATTAAATCACATACATTATTTGGCATAAATAACCGATGGATAAACAGATGAATAATATCAATTTAAAATTAATTAAAAGTTCCAAATAACTCTGGAGTAATCCTATTCGTAGATCTAAATACAAATATGCAGATAAAAAATAATTATACCGAATAAGGTTTAAAATAATAAAAAAGCTATAATATTGATAAAAAATTTAGATAAAATGGAATGACAAGAGTAATCAATTAATACTAAACACATTAATGGATAAACAAAAATAGATAAAACAAAGTAAAAAACATTGATCATTTCTGGATCTCTAATAATTTGTATTAGAATAACTTAAAAACTTAACAAACTGAAGTTAACCAACAATGTAAGTTTGTTTTCTAACCATTTTCCATTAAGAATTAATCTAATAATAAATAGAAACTAATATAATGAAAAAATTCCTTTCCCCATATAACTTAAAAATAAATATATTATTATTGATGTAAAAACTACTATAAAAAGCCTTTAATATCCCGAATAATTAATTATAGATATTTAATTTAATTGATAAATTAAAAAAACATATGTAAAATTAATAACAAAAATATATATCAAATGTATCCTAAATATAAAAGAATATTAACAAAAAATTTAGATATATAAAAAAACTTTTTTAAGAATGTAATAATAAAAACTTAAACAATCCAATAAAATAATAATAATATTAAGAAATGGTAACTTTTAATTAAACGAAATAATTATAATAAGCTGAATTTAAAAAAATATAGCAAAGAAAATATAAAGATATAATCGAAAAATTAAATTAAATATAATAAATAGAATCCAAATATATATTACAAATAACTTAAAAACATTTACAATATTAAAAGGAACAATTAAATATTAATTTTTAAATAAACTGAATTATATGATTAAAATAATGAACCAATATATTAAATATCACAATAAATAGAAATACTAACAAAATATTTTCATAATCACTATAACAGCCCTATCAATCCATAAAATAAATAGAATGTTTGGAATCTAAATAATTAATAAAAAAATATTATTATAGATAACATTAATTTAAAATTATTATCGAAAAACAAAGCATACACAGAAGATCTAATAAATGATTAAATAGTCAAACCAATAGTTATATTAAAAAATTAGTAAAAAAATAAAATATAAAAGATAATTATTGATGAAAACTTAAACAAATAATATTAAACATAATAAGTTATCCGCTAAAATATATAAATCACTTTAAAGCAAGACAAATCTATATTATCAAAAAAGAAAAAGAATTATAACTCGAATAATGCAGACCCATTACTATCCTACCATTTTTTGTTAAAGTAATAGAAAAATCTATTCTAAACCATATTAAATAGCTAGTACAACAATAAATAATAGAAAAAATTAAAACTAATTAATCTGGATTTACAAATAAAAAAAACACAACAATTTAAATTCTTAGATTAATTACATGGGCAAAAAATTAACTTAATGAAAAACAATAACATCCAGTAATAATATTTTTCGACTTTGAATCAGCCTTTGACTCACCAAATTAGGAACTTATGTTTAATAACTTATTGAAAAAATAAGGATTTCCCTAATACTTATTAGATATGATAAAATGGTTATATAGTCTAATAACTGTAAATGGCTTTGAAATTAGAAAAGGATGTCTGCAAAGCTCTATTTTGTCTCCCATAATATTTATCTATGCATTGTAATAAATATTTAAAGAAGTTAATGAGTAAATTAATTTTGAATTACTTGAATTATTTTATGCGGACGACCTAGCAACATGTTTTTATCATACAACTCCTTCTCATTAAATTTGATAATACTGCAAAATATTAATTTAAACATGTAATAAATATGGATTAAGTTTAAAATACGATAAATGCGAATGGATGATTTTAAAGAAATCTAAAAAAAATAGTTAAGTATACAAAAAAAAAAATGATATTAGTATAAAGAGAGCTTCAAACATATAAATTCGAATAAACAAACAAATATAAGTATTTAGGAATAATAATATAAGATAATATGAAACTTAACCTATAAATACAAAAAATAAAAGACAATTTAAAAAAATATTAATATTTAACCCAAAAACATAAACAGGATAATAATATTATTCTAAGTAACATCTATATATGGAAAACCTTCATTTAATCATAATTTTAATACGCAATTACCTTAATAAGAGATCTTGATAAAAGAAAAGTATTTTAATAAGAATTAAATAAATGTTATGAAAGTTCCTTTAAAAAAACACTTGGAATACCTAGATATTTAAATTGCGAAAAAATAATGAAAGATTTAGAAGTTAAAAACTTATAATAATTTTCAATTAAATTCTCAAAAAACATAATAGATTAACATAACTTAGATATAGAAAGATAAACATTAAATAAAAAGTTAAAGGTAAATCTAATAATTGAATAATGGGAATAAATATATAAATAAAACTGTAAAAGGTAAAATGAATATAAAAAAAATAAATTTTTTAAAAATACAATAAAAAACTTAAACCTAAAAGATTATTATTAAATATAAAAAAAGTAACTAATTATAAAATGTAATTAAAGACATTCATTCAAAAGTCTTATTCATAAACATTTATAGCAGAATTTTGAAAATTAACATTAAAATACTTATGAATTAATAACAAAAATAGAATAAATATAATAAAAATATTGGTACTTTTTAAAAAATCACAAAGGGGATATATAAATACTATAAAAAATGATTGAATAACTAGTAAAAAAATACAAGTAAAATGAAAAGTGAAATAATAAAAAAAAATATTATTATAAATTAAATTAGCGTGAGGATAAATTTAATACAAATATAAAATATATTAAATTAAAATTTGTGAATATATATTTTATATTTAGTATGTTAAAGAAAAAAGAAAAAAAAATATTTTAAACAAAAAATTATTTCGCGAAAATCTTAAATAATTATTTTTATATATTGAAGCTTTTGATTTTTTTTTATTTATTTAAATAAAGAAAATTTATTAGATTTTATAAAAATAGTATAATAGTTAAAAATATAAAATATTTTAACTTTTATATCCGAAAAATACGAATTAAATAGAAAAATACATGAGATTTAAGAATACAAAATATATAACTTTCATAATTTTAATTTGTAAATATAAAAAAAAAAAATTAATACTCCTATATGTATTATTTTAATATATATTATCATTTTAAAATCTTATTTTAAAAATTTATGCCATATTTTATTTAAATTATTACAATAAGTTAAAAATAAATACTTTACAATTTTTTTGAAATTTGATATATTTATTTTCATTTAATAAATTTCTTTTTGTTATATATTTTTATATAATATTTAGTAAAATATAAAAAAAAAAAAATTGTTTTAATATAATAAAAATATAAAATTCTAGGAAAAAATAAAATAAAGAAAATTAAAAATGGATTTTTCATTTGAATATTATTTGAAAATATAATTCTTTACATTTTAATTCTATTCAATTATTTATTTAATATAAGTGAAAAATTTAAAATAGTTTAAAATTTTTGATGTAATATTTTTTTTAAAAATCAAAAAAAATAAAATAATAGTTTTTCTTATTTTTATTAAATTAAGTTATTTTTAGATTATTAATACTTAAATAATATTGATTTTTCTATTTAATTATTATTTTACTATAATGGAATACTAATACTTTTTATTATAGGAATAGTTTTAATGATTAGATTTTCAAAGTAAATAAACATATATATTAATCTTTTATATATTTTTTATAAATAAGATTCATAATTGTAAATTATTTATTATTTTTTTTGATAAAAATATTCTTTCTTTAATATTTTTTTATGCCGCTATTAATCTATATCATTAAGTAAAAAAAAAATCAATAAAAATATATATAAAAAATATTAAAAAGGATTATTTTAATGTGAAAAAGGACAATTTTTTTTTTTTTTTTTTTTTTTTTTAGAAAAAAAAAAAAAAATATAATTAATATTTCAACAAAAATTAATAAAAAAAAGAAAACTTAAAATAAATATATTTTTTATATATTTCAAGAATTAATTATTCCTAAAACATTAACAATTTTATCAATCTCCTGAACTTTATAAAGGTTTTTACGTTTAATTAACTTAAGTTCGCCATGTTTTTCTTCACAAGACCTAATTTATTGATATAATTATGTTTACATGATTCTTAAATTAATTGCATATTTATTTTAAAGAATTTCATTAAATTAAGAAACGCTTTATCTTTTATTATTAGAAAAAATGAAATTTTTAAAAGCATTTTCTTTATCTTTAAAAAAAATAATTTAAAAAATATAAAATACAAAAAATACTTTAAACTTCTTTTGTAATATCAATCAAAGAATCTTATATGATATGTATTTAGTCTTTTTCACAATCGATATTTACTTTTTCTAATCTATTATTTAAATCAAGAATATTATTTAACAATTATTAATTATGTTTAAATAAATTTTCATTTTTTTAATTTTATTTATATGTTAATTTTAAATATCTTTTTAGTAATAATTATTATGTATAATCCTTTATTTAAGTATTTTCTATATCAATAAATGCTTTCAATTTTTAATTATAATTTGAAAATTTCTCTATTGTATGTATACAATGTTTGCAACTCCTATATTTTAACATATTTCTTAAGTTTTCTGATAAATTTATCATTAAATAATTAATACTTTCTCCTGTTGGCAATTCATATTTTTAAACTTTTGTCCAGTTTTCTTTTATAAACTATTCCTCGTCAGATTATGAAAGAATGCTGCTTAGTTTTTTGAATTTATTTATTTACTTTTTTTATTTAAAAATATTATTTACTTAAAATAAAAACCTGTTTATCTGGTTAATATTATTATGCTGTTTTTGCCTTTTTTAAAACTTATTTATTCTTGTGTATTTGTTTATTAGAATATATAATTTTTTCATTTAAAGAATTAAATACATTACTATAAGCATTAAGAGTTTCTGGAGATTAAATAAAACTATTTAATTAATTATATGATTAATTGATTAATTGAAATGTTTCTTTTTCACTCTTAATTTAATTTTCTTGATTTTCCTTTATTAAATTTATTTTTTGAACTATTTAAAACTTTTTTTTATTTTATTCTATTTGAGGTAGATGAATTAATGATTCCATATTAAATAAAAATAATTTTCAAAACAAAAATATTATAAAAACTTTAACAAATATATAAAAAAATAAATATTTATATTATAATTTATTTTTTATAAATTAGTTTAATATTATTAATTTAATAATTTTTAATCAAAGGTAAAAAATTATAATAAATTTTTTATGAGCTTTTTAATTTTCTTTTATTATTATTTTTTAAAACCTATATTTTCTTTATTTATATTACTTATTCCATTTATTTTAATTGTGTAATTTTACTATATCAAAACATATATCACCACCACCATTTTTAATTGTTAATTATTCCCCTATGAATTAGTTACTTTATTTTAAACATAAATTTTAGATATATTTCAATATTCTTCTTACTTTGAATTTATAATTCATTTAAATCTATATTTTATATATTTCAAACAAGCCAAAATATTTTTTTGGTTTATTCCCTCTCTTGTTTCTGAAACAATTAATTTTATTATATTCTTGAGATAAATACTCTCGTATTTTTGGTTATATGAAGTTAAGCAATTTCTAAAGGAATTCTCTCAATTAAAACTTATATTAAAAGCTATATTTGAATTTAAAGTAAAATATAAATAGGCTTTGTGGAATATTTTGTTTAATACTAAAAATAATATGTTTAACTTAAATATTTTTATTATTATTATAATATTTCTAATTACTATTTTAATAATATACTTTATTTTTTCTAATTATAATCATTAGAATTGTTTGACTTAATTAGCTACAAAACATAGATATATTACTAAGTATACATTAAATATAATTATTATAGACTATATATATCTTTAATTACAATTATGATTTTATTATATAATATATATGAAACTTTTTTATATTATATCCAATATATTATATCTAAAATTGAATAAGATTAAACTAAATATAAAGATAATTGACTGTAGATAAAAGTATATAAATAAAATATTAAAAATGTAAATTGCATATCTATTTTATAATATATTATTTGATTTATGTCATTTAATAGAATAAATAAATATAATCAGCAATCTTATAATATAATGAAAATAATATTTATAATAAAAATACAAGGATAAATCGAGATCCGATTCAAGAGAAAATATATTTAATTTAATATGATTTTAATGAAACCGAATTATCTATAATAATTATTAATTATAAAGTTTAGAAGGTGGATTTAAATAATACATTAGTAATTTGTTATTTATTATAAAAGTTCGATGATATTTTACCAAATATTATTAGTTGTCCTTTTATGTTGGGAAAAAGTTTAAAAGATTAAACATTATTTCTTGTAAATGAAAAAGAAGTCTAAAATCCTTCTAAAAAATATTGTATTTTATAATATAAGGCAAAGAATAAATTTATATTAAATACTTATATATTTACCATACATTTATCCAAAAAATAATTCTGGTGATTTTTTATTGTTTACTTATTAATTATCTTTTCTTATAATATAATATTTAATTTTGTATATATATAATTATTATATTTATCATAAATTTAATCTATGACTAAACTTTAAAAAGACGATGATATTTATTCGTATTTAATTTTACGAGAACATATATATTGAAGGATTCATTTTATTAGTTATACTAAATTACACAAAAAAATAAATAAATTTTAAATTTTTTAAAAAATCATTATTAAATAATATATATATATATATTTTTTTTTTGTAAAATTAGACAACATATATTCTAAGACAATATAAACTTCATATTTTAAGAAAAAATATTAAATTAAGTCTATTATTTTAATGTGTCTTATATTAGAGGATTTTTTAACGAAATTTTTAGAATATTATTTTTTATATATGTATTACTTACTTATTTATAAATTATTTTATTTTATCTTTTTTTTTTAAAAAAAAAAACCAACAAAAAAAAAAAGGGTTAAAAAAAAAAAAAAAGGTTAAAAAAAATAATTAAAGAAAAAAAATCTATAAAAAATTAATATATTAATTTTTTTTATTTCTTATTCGGATTTATCCCAAAATAATAATATTTTTTAGGTTCCCTAATGAAATTTATGTTATAAATATAAAATAAATAATTAATAAATTTCTATTTCCTTATATTTTTTCTTATTTATATGTTTAAATAATAATTAAGATGAAGTTTTTAATTTGTTTGTTTCTCATTCTTTATTATATTATTTTAAATTTAATTTTTTTGGAATAATTTTTTAGCTTTTTTATTTTAAAAAAATAAGAGTATTTAAGTCAAATTAAATAAATAATTTAAAAAATTAAGAAAAGAAATGAAATAATAAGACATAGATCTTATTATTCTTAAAAAATTATATATATTTATTAAAGTTTATCTAAAGTTGAAAAAAACTATATTTATATTTGAAGTATCATTTATATATTAAAAAAATGAATGCTTAATTAAGATTTTTTTATTTTTTTTTAAATTTCCTTTATATTAAGTCAAATCTAATTTTAGAAAAAAATAAAAATGTGTTTGTCTTATATTAAGGTTTTAACGTTATATATGAATATAAGTTTTATATGAAATATATTTAAACATCATTTAACAATTGAAATAGCAATAATTTATGAAATAAGCATCCACCCAACAATAGAACAAATACCAAAACAAAGTACAAAAATTATAATTCCACAGAATTTTTTATATAGATTAGGTCCAATAATATCTTTTAAGAATTAAAATGGATGAAATATATCAAATTTAAGTCTTCCTGAAGGTTCAGGTAAAGGCGGGAAATTGTTTGGAGCATCTCTACCTAATCCGTTCTTTTTTTCTTCGGCAGCTTTAACAGGGATTAATTCAATGCTTAAGCATACTTGCCCTTAAGGGATAAGATTTTTCGCTTTGTCTCTAACTAAAGGATTATAAACTTAATACCATTGTTTATCTACAATTTTACCTGTTTTGGAAAGCTCTTTCATTTACATTGTTACTGCTTTTTATCTTTTTACGCATTTATCTATTAGTTTATGTTAGTTAAGATTTATTGCACATTCTCCTATAATATCATTAGAAGCTACTAAATCTTTATCTAAAAGTTGTACCTTGTTTTATTTAGATAAAATAATAAATTTTATTATTTGACTGAAATAAATAATGTACTTATAATTAATCTCCTCCGTAATCTGAAATGGTTAAAGGATAAGTTTGTCTAAATTTCATTCGCCAATTAAAAGATCCATTTGCTCTACATCTCCAGTGTACATCAGTTTCTTATACTTTAGCAGGTTAGTTTTTTAAAAAACATCTAACAAATATGTCATTACATTGTTCAGCTTCATCTTTAAATACACAATCTTTAGTTTCCCAAACAATAACTCTTAGCTCCATTTCATATTTAGGGGGAGGAGCTATTTTTTCTGGTAAATAATCCTTTAAAAACCTAAAGGGAATCAGTTCTACCCAAATTTCTAATTATCCTATTGATAAAGTTTCATTTTCTGGATATAAATTTCTATTTTCAAATGGTTTTCTGTCAAGTTTTACCCATTTGGCAGTAAATATTCTATTTTCCATATCTATTTATGTTTACCCTACCAATTAGTCTCTTCCAAAAGCATCATCCCATACTTATATTTTCAAGACTGCACTTCCTGGAAGTGTACATTCTATATCTTCACATATATAATAATCTGGATTGCATGTTTCTGGTCTTAGAGTAGTTTCTTTTTTTTAAAAAAATAAATATAAAATTTGTTAATTTGAAGAATTACTTTTTAAGTCTTTTTTATACGATCCTAATTATAATTTCAAATAAGTATCTAAATTCGAACCTTCACCTCCTATATTTTTTCCTCTAGTAATATAAACACGACATATATATTTTTTTTCTTTCATTAATTATTTTAAATTTTCGATTTTTGTTTATATTTATTTATTTTTTTCAATAAAAATGCATTTTAAAGTTGCTAGCTTTTATGGGATGCTTGGTTTATCAAAAGAAAAAATATTCTTTATTTATAAAAAAAAGATAAAAAAAAACACAAAAAATTACTTTTTTAACTCCTCTTGATTGACCTTTCATAATATCAATGCATTTTAGTTTTTTAGTAGGAAAGTAATATTTTTCGAATTCTTAAGGATAAAACTCCCTATTTTTTTACCATCCAGGAGTAATATCAAGATCTTCATCTTCATCAGTATCATAATCTTCATATTCTTAGATAATCATATGCTTATGCTTTTTAAAAATGTTAAACATTCTAGCAGTTTTTTATAAAAGTTTATTTTCGTCTTATTCTTCATCTTCTTTTATAATTGGAAGCATTAATTTTCCATCTTAAGCGATTTGTTCTTTTGTCAATTCTTTTTTAGAATGAGATTTTATGGAAAAAGTTAAACTATCTCTAGGCATGAAAGTAGATAGATCTTTTTCTTATGATCTTTTCATTTATTTTATTTAAGAATTTATTTCTATATTTTTTTCATCTTAAATTATATTTTTCTCATTTTCTTATGTTTTCTCATTATTTATACTATTTTATTACTCTAATAAAGAAATTCTTCTCTCTTTCATAGTGGATTTATCTTAAACTAATTATTTTTGTGACTATTATTCTTTATTTTCTTCTTCATATTAGCTTGGCATATTAAACTACTATTTATTATTTGAACATTAATCGATATTGATATCTGTATGATTAAAATGCTTTGGAATATTAGTATTATTTTGATTGTTTTAGAAATGAGATCCTGGATTCGTATTTATAATAATATTTTATGGATTGAATTTTACTGTATTTACTATTTAAATATCTTCTTCTTTTAATTCTTGTCTTCCTTCTAAAAGCTGTTAGTTTTCATCGTCTTCATTTTCAAATTAAGGGAGTCCCAAAGTAATATGTTTTTATAATAAATACTATTAATCAAAGTTAATTTATTTATTTTTTACCATATTTATATATTATTTATTTTCTAAAGATTAAATGCCTATTTCTTATTTGATTTTCTATTCACTTTTATCTCCTAATAAATCCATATATTTTTATGAATTATTTGAAATCATTAAATCATTTTCATTTGCTTATATAAGCCTATCTTTTTTTTTTACAAAAAGCAACTTTCGATAAGCTTTCATTTCTTCATCATATTCCTCTTTTTATTATTTTTCATTTTTTTTCTGCTCTTTTTCTTATTATTAATTCAACAATTCTTTCTGTCTTTTTTCTTCTAATTCAAATTATTATTTTAAAACATCAACAATACTCTTTTTTTTTTATTAATAAAATATTTTTTTGTTAAAAAAGAAAAAAATATATGTATGTTTTTTTACAGTATCTTCCGAATCTATTTCTTTTTCTTATCCAGCATCGGATTTTTTACTTCTAAAATCATTAAATTTAATGGAACTATAACCCAAAAATTCCTCTTCATTTCCATCAGTACCATCCCACAAGAAAACATCAATTATAGGTCCAAAAGATTTATTATTAGGGACTTAAAGGACCATTTCAATAGCTTTATTTGCATTAGCACCATCGTCTTTAATTTTCATTTTATCAGTTTTAATTTGTTGTTAATTATCTCCTGAAATATCAAAACTTGCCTACAACTTTTAAGGAGTAAATCCCATAACTTCAAAATCAATATCTCTAACTCCTATAATAAAAAATGTTAAAACCTAAGTTTAACTTCTTGGAAAAAGCCTTTTTGAAGCAATTCTATCTTAATAAACAGTTGGAATAATTGCATAACTTAATAAAACTTATCCTGTATACTTTTTTATATTTGTTATAATAACAAAAAAAAACATTTATATATAAATTATACTTCTCCTGTAGCATCATATTTTATAGGATACCATTTAGGTCTTCTATATAAAATATCTGCATATTATGTTGGTTCATCTTATTCTTGTATTAATTTAAATTTAACGTGTGTAGGTTCTAAAGGAATCCATATTCTTCCTAATAAATCTTTATCAATTTTATTTATATCAGCAATCTATAAACCGGAATCGTCTAAAAGAAGTTAATCTTAATTTTCCGTTATGAGATCTAATTCTTCATCATTTTATTTTTAGGAGACTAAGAAATTACTGATTTATGAATTATTATTATTCTATTTATTGTCTTTCTTTTATTTATCATTTAAACTAGTATTATCATCATCATTTTCTTCATCATCTTTTTTTCCTGAAATTTTTCCATAGAATTTCTTAAACTTCTATTAAAGAGATTAAAATTATTAATTAAAAGCTCTTTTAAAATGTTTTTCTAGTCCATTTTCTTTCTAATTGTCATCAGAATCATATAATGTCAAAAATATTCCTTTTGTAGGCATTTTACTTTCCATGAATTCCTAAATAGAGGGTAATTAAACGCCTTCAATATTAATACTTTAATACCAGCCTGGATTTAACGTTCTTTATTTGACTTTTGACCAACCAGATTTTCCTGAACATTTCACTTTTACAAAAGGGTCACATCCACCTGTATCATCTGCAGGAGGAAGTTCTTTTCCATTATAAAGCTACACTCTTAATTAATATGAATCTAACATTTTTAAACTATTTCCTTAAAGAAATTCTCTTTCTTTGCCTTTTTTAGGTCTGAACTTTAATAAAGAAACTCTTACAGTCAAAAAACCTGGAAACTCATCGTCCTTTACCAAATCCAAAGAACGATCTTCTTTTAATTCCAAAAGGAAGGTCTAATGATCCGTTTTGGGATTAAAATCAGGATTAGTATTCAATATTTTACTTGCTTTTAATCTGTTATAGCATATTCGGGAATCTTCCGAATTATCATCGGCTACATAAAATATTAAATCAGGAATTTATTCAATGTCTTCTGGAAATATTACCTTTCTTTCTTTTAATGATTAATTCCAATTTACTTACCCTTAATAATTAATAGATTTATTTGAATATGACTTTATTTTTTTTTAAATATTCTATTTTTAAATATAATAATTTACCATATATGGACCCATGCTAACGTGTATAAAAAATTCATTGTTTTTTTTTTCAGGAATTTCATTTCCTTCTAGAATATCTATCCATAAAATATATGTACGAATAGTAGTTTAAGGAATAGGATTATCTGGAAAAGAAAAATTAAGGTTTCTTAATATTGTTTTTGGATTATTTTTATTATAACTAGTTACAGAATATAAAAGACGACCTCTATAATGAGATCCTAAAGTACTTCCATAGAAATTCATTAAATCTGCGTGTTGTCCTGAAGCACAAACTGGGGCTCCATAAAGATTTTGCCATTATGGAATCGGTTTTTTTCCTTGTATTTTATTAAAATCTATTTTAAATTAACCAACTAAATCATCTTCGCCTTTTTTTAAAAAATATTTTTTAATTCATATATTTTATTTTACTTCCTATATCTCTATCATAAACGCTTATTGTTATTTATTTTGTTTAACATGGTAACATACATGCTAGTTAAATACATTAATTCCATTCAGGATTTCTAGATTATACTACTTTTGTTTTTTTTATTATACTCCCAAATTTTGCAACTATATAAGCATCGATTCTTTTTTATTTTATAATTAATTAAAAATAAATTAAACTATATACGAATTTTATGCTATATCTAAACAAGGTAGATTTTCTGCTCTGTAAATATTTATCTATATTATTAATTTTAAATATAAAGCTTTTTATATATATTTTTTTTACTAATATTTCATGTCCTTATTAGTTTATTTTTTAAGGAACTAAAGCATTTTCTTTACCTGCAGTCTTTTTTTAAATATATTGTTTATTATTTTTGATTTATAAAGAAATTAAAAAAAATTAATACAGGTTTTTTTGCATCAGAAATATCATGAACTGCTGCCGAATCATCAGGTCCCAAAACTGTAATATTTACAAAAATATAACCAGTAGGGCCTTCTACTTCATCAGTTGGGTCAGTTAAAGTAAGCCAAGTATGATAATATTCGTGCATAGGTTAAAAATAAACAGAAGTTAAGTCAACTTCATAACTTCCTATAATACTAGAACTAAAAGTTGATTTATCAAAAACAGTAAATTTTATAGATACATCTTATAGTTATTCTAATTTTAAATTCTTAAAAAAAAATGTCCATCCTTAATTATAAACAGGACTTGATTATTCTTTTATAATTTTTGTTGTTTTTTTTTTGTCCATTACTTCTACTGTTACTTAAGATGAACATATTTGTGCTTCAGTTATTCCTAATAAACCCTTATTTCTATTTTTTTATGTTTAAGAATCTTTTTTATTCAATTATATATTTTACTTTGGAATTAAGTCAGTAGCTTCTATTACTTTTATGTTTATTGAATAATCTCCTTCCTTTAATTTGTAGTTCTTTTTTTTTTTTTTAGTTATTAATTTGTTTATATTAAAAAAATACTTTGATATCATCTTATGCTATTGTTTTTTTAGCCATATTTTATTTATTTTACTTTTACTTTTGATTGTTGAAATTTAATTAATATATAGATATATATATATATATATATATATTATTTTTTAAAAAATAATTTAAAAATATTTTTTAAAAATAATTTTTTTTAATAGTATTTATTTTTATTTTTAAAATAGGAAGAAACAATATATTTTTATTTAAAAATAGGAGGAAATTTAAATAATGTATTATACTTTTTGTCCATATTTTTTTTTATTTTATAATTTCTTCTTATAAATTTAGTCAACCATAAAAAAAAGCCGCTTAAAAAATAGATAGATAATCCGCCTTTTTTTTTATGTTGAATTTTTAAAATAAAATAAAATCATATAAACTAATATTTTTAATAAAAAAAATAAAACTTCACAAAAAAATAATATATAGACATAATAGCAATTTATATTAAATATAATAATTTATATAGTAAATTAAATATATTTATAAAACTAAATAACTATAAAATATAAAACAAGTATAAATATGATTTTTTTCTATATAAATAAGATAAATTAAAAAAAGAAGAAAATGATCATTTTTTTAAAAACAAATTTTATTATTATTATTATTATTTGAAATTTTTCTGATTTTTCTATATAACTTTTTTTTTAGCATCTTCACATATATTAACTAAATTTTAAGAAATTTCCTCTAAAATAATTACTCCTTATTCTTTTGATTTTTCAATAATAAGGGCTAATTTTTTTCCTAATTCATATTTATCATAAATATACGAAATTTATATGCTATCGCTTTTAATTAAAATACAAAAGAAGATTTCTAAAATTTTCATTTTAATTTGAGGCGTGTTTTACATTTTCGAATTTTCATCAAAATCAACTAAAAGACTACATAACTAAAAGACAAACAAATCTTATTCCACAATACATTATCCAATTTTATCTGAAAGGCTAATAATTCTACCAATAATAGGAATAATTTAAATTAAATTTTCGTTTTTAGGCAAAAAACATTGAATATTTTCTAAAAAAAACTCTTCTAATAATTCTAAATCGAACTCTAGCCAAGAAGCCAAAGTATCAATAATTTTAAAAATGAACATTTTATTATTTTCTAAATTTATAAGTTTTAAGAAAATACCAGGTCCTCCAAATTCAATCAACATTTTTCTTGTCAATTTTGAAGTCTTTACAAAATGACATAAAATCAACATTGCAATTTTTTTCAAATTTATTTCCATTTAATTATTACTTCCTATGCTTATTAAAATTGGAATTGCGCCTTATAAAGCTAAATACTCTTATCTCGGGTGACTCAAATTCTGGAAATAATTAATTATTTTTAATAAATCCTGGAAATATTTATCATTTAAACATTCCGCTTTTTTATTTTCATCTTCCAAAAGACCCAGTACTTTTTTTATTAGTCCAAAGTTTTCCAATTTATTTAATAACGAATGTTCATTACATAAAAACCGAAAAATACTTATTACTTTTTATAGAATTATAAAAGGAAGACCTTCTACATCTAAAATCTCAAGAAATATATGTAATATTTCATCTTAACATAAATTGAAATATATTTATTTGTCTTCACATTCCGCAAACATTACAATTATTTCTAAAATTCTTAAAATATATTTATTATGCATTTAAAAATTCGATAGAAAATATTCGTTAAAAAGTCCTTATAAAATAAGTACTAATCGTGCACATGTATCATATTTATTTAATATTCTACATATATTTTAACTACTTAGGTATTTTAAATCTAAAACAACTAATATTACATCTATTCTTTAAATTTTTTTATATTTAAAAATAATAAAAAATAAATCATATTTTATATAATAAATAAATTATATACCCAATCTAAACAATATCCTTATTTTTTTAAAAATCTATATCTAACATATCAACTAATGATTAACATCCGCCACAAGCTAAAAATATTTATAAAGTAGGCTTATATATTGCAAGCTATCCTATAAAACTAGCAACTTCACATCTGATTTCGAAAGGATAAAAATCATTTGTATATTTAAGAATATAAGGTACAACACCTTTTATTTGGTTTATTATATTTGTTAATTAAATAAAATACCAAAAAGACATGCAGTTTCTAAATTGAAACAATCATTTTCTATTACTTGATTAAGGAAGCATAAAACTGATAAAATAATTGAATTATTCTAATTAAATTTATCTAACAAATCAATAAAAAGTATCAATCCACATTATTGAATGAAAAATTTTTTAGCTTTTGGATATCTATTCATTATATCACTTAAATAATTCATATATTCTTCCACTTTTTTCGGATCTTTTGTTTTTTATAAACTATTTACAATTTCTTATGTATCTTGAAACATCTTATAACAAAAAAAAATATAATTATATATTTAATATATATATATATATACTTTTTATTCTTTTTTATTATTTATAGTATTATGTTTTTTCTAAAAGTTTAGATGTCGTAAAGAATCGAATTATTTATTGTTTTCAATAATCGAAGAAATAAATAATCCATCATCATAAGAGTTTAAAAAACCTTAATTATTATTGAATTTTTTATCATCTTTTAAGTTCAAACCAATTAGTTTCATAGAATTTTATCTCTCTTCACAGTCCTTATTTAAAATTACCAAATTATTATTATTTTCTTATTATTCATTTATATGTTTGCGAATCGTATTATGAACTTCTTCTGGTAATTCATTGTTTTCTGAAATTATAAGTTTTTTTTTGCTATTCAACCATTCATGTTTTAAACAGCCTTTAGCATCTATTCTTTAACTAGGCTCTTTTTCAAAACATTTTAATAAAAAATCAGTACATTCCTACGATATATCTTCGGGGAGAGGGGGATGTTAATCTTCAACCATTCTAAACAATGCTGGATATTATCATAAGTCACTATAAGGAGGATTTCCAGTTAGTAATTCAATTATTGTACATCCTAAAGACCATATATCACAACTAGTAGTAATATGCCCTCCTTTTAATAATTTGCTATTTTTATTTCTAATTTTTATGAAAAATACCTATATCAATTGCTTCTGGAGCCATCCAATAAGGAGTTCCTACAAATTTTTGATTTTTTTCATCATCAGCTAAATGAGTAGCAACACCAAAATCAGTTAATTTTATAACTCCATCTTTTGTTGTTAGTATATTTGCCCCCTTTATATCTCTATGTACTATCCCTTATGAATGTAAATATTCTAAACCTTTTAAGACCTTTTTTTTAAAAAAAATAAATAATTATAAATATAAAATTTATTTATTAGAAAAATATTTACTTATTTTATATATATTGCAACTAAAGATTCCTAAAAAGGACCAAATTTTTTTATTATGGTATATAGTGATCCTGATTCTACATATTCTAATACTATTGCATAATGAAATTCTGTTTATACAAAGTCTATGTATTTAACAATGTTTTCATGTTTTAATTTTTTTAATAGTTTCATTTCACCAGTAATTGATTTTCTTTGCTCTTCTTTTATGTTTAATGAAGATACTAGTTTTATTGCTACTGTCTAACCTGTTTCAATATTTAATCCTTTATATACTGTTCCTATTGCTCCTTTTCCTATCATATCTCCGGTTTGATATATTCCTACTTTTTTTGGTTTTTCGTGTTACACTCTTGAAATCATTTTTTTTTATTTTTCTTAAATTTATTTAAATATAATATATTTTTTAATATTTGTTTCAAAATCTTTATTTTTTTTGGTATTTTTGCCTTTTATATAAATAATTTTTTAAACATAATGAAGTAATTTTTTTGTGCTTAGTATTAAAAAAAAGAAAATATTATTTAAAAAAAATTGATATATTCGAAATTTTTTAAAATTGAAAAATAAAAATTAAATGTTTAGCAAAAATTTAATTTTAAAGTATAAATAATTTGTTTAGAATAAAATGAAAAAAAAAGTTAAAAAATGCACTATTAATCACTACTGATGTGGGAATATGAAAAACTATATATTTAAATAATATTGAAAAAAAAATTTAATATTTAATAAACTCTACTTTATTTGTATTTTTAAAGTAATTAATGCTATTATATATTTAAAAATTAATAAACAAAATTATTACCGATATCAAATAAAAAAATAATTTATTTGGTTTTATATCCGAAAAAAATCTTATTTTAAATAATAATAGGTTTATCACAATTACATATAATAAATATATCTAAAATATATTACATAAATCTGAATTTAAACTTATAATATTATAATTTATTTATATTCTTCTAAAATATATTAATAGATCATTAAAAATTTATATAAATTTTAATTTAAAAGATTATTATAATTAATAATAATAAAAAAATACAAACTATTAAACAATAAATAAAGAGAAATTTAAATATAAAAAAACATTATAAATGGGTGATATTTTATTAGGAACATTAATTTATATTGGTTTGGGATTTATACTTAGTATATTTTTTGCTTTTTATGTGAATTTCCGAACTAAAGATTAAAGTGCAAGAAGATCAAACATATGGTTTCCTTAAAAAAATAATCAATTATTAGTTTTATATTTAATATATATATTTTAAAAATATAATAGCATAGCAGTTTTTTCAGTAATATTATCAATTATATGCATGTGGATAATGTGGATTTCTGCGTATATGCATTAAATGTATCCTATTATATAGCCAATATTAAAAACAAAAGAGTGAATTAAAGAATTAATATAAATATATACATATTATTATTGTAATAAGATAATAATTTTTATAATAGTATATTACAATAAATAAAAATATACTTTTATTAAAATTAAGCTTTAGTTATATCTTTTTTTAATGGATTATTTTAACATTATATAATTAATAATATAATCTTTAAAAGTTAAAAAAAAAGATTAATTATTTATTTATTATCTCAATTTAAATAAAAATGATCAATAATACTATATTATATTATATAATAGTTAAAATGAATGTAATTGAATTTTAAACTAGATTAAATATGTTAAATATTAAAGTTTAAATATATTATATTAGAATAAAATTTATATAATAAAATATAATAATAATATACAATAAAAATATTTAATAAATATATATTGTATTAATATGTATAATATATCAAATAATTATTATTTTATTAAATTAAATATTTATTATTTATAAATAATTTCAAAGTTCTGTCTTAATTTATTATTCACTATCTTCAAAAACAGATTTATTTAGTTGAGCTTAATCTTATAACCATTAGTCCCAAGTTTCTTTTAATTCATTAACAGATCTATCAATATCTTTTTAATCATATTCAGTTTCTATTAATAATTCTTCAATATTTTCTGTCATTATTAAAAAATCTTCCCAAACCATTCCATATAACTCTGGATCTTAAATCATTCTATTGAAATCATTTTCATCGATATCGTTTTCCAAATCTCAATAAGAAAATATAAGATTTATTTTTTCGTTTTTAAATTTACCATAAAGCTGAATAAGATGCTTATACATTTTCATAGAAAAATCATTTATATGATTTTCTAACTTTTCTGCTTATGATAATTCTAATAATTATTCTTTTTTTATCTTTTTTTGTAATAAATATTAATTTTTTTATATACGTTTTTTATTTTATTTTTAATACTGTTAAACTAATTGATTAATTGAAATAATTTCTTGATATATAAGACATTAATTCTCTATCATATGTTTCCTTTATTATTATTATTTTTTTTTTTTAAATATATTTTTTTATTTTAATCATACAACAGAAGCTCTAAGTATTGGAGAAACAAAAGAAATAAAATCTTTTTTAGACACTTCATTTGATTCATATTTATTTAAGAAATTTAGAACTTATTAGCTAAAATTTAAAGGAACTTTATAATTTAATATACACAAAGAATTAATGATTAATAAAAGAAAAATCAATAATATTAATTTCATTCTGTATTTATAGTTTAAGTAAGCAGATATTTTTTTTATTATTTATTTTTTAATAAATAAAATATTCTTTTTTTTTAAAAAAATAAAATAAAAAAAAAAAATTTAAATTTATTTTACCTCTTCTTTATTTTAAAAATAAAATCTTAAAATTAAAAAAAAAAACTAATTGTGTTTTTAAATTTTATTTGTTAGTTTACTTAATTGATTTTTTTGAAATGAATTTTTAATTGAGATTATAAAATATTTATAATATATATTAATCAACTTTTTATAATTTTAAAAACTGTACAATAATAAAATAATGAATATTTTTAGATTTTAGAAATATAAAAAACAATATTATATTTATTAATTTTTTTTTTTATAAAAATAAAATAAAAATATTATAATAAAACGAATTTTATTACAATCATTATATATCTTCTTCATATTTTATATTTTAATTTTTTAAGCTTATCTATTATTATTTTATTAATTAATTAATATAAATAAATTTTATTTACAAGTTTATTTTTTGTTATTGCTTTCTTAGAAATTTTTGGAAAATTTATTTTCTAATAAACCTTATAAAATCCTTAAATTTTTTTATCTGTTTAATAAAAAAAAATATTTAATTAATCTAAAATATTAAAAATACTAATATTAAGTTCATTTGATTTTTATTCTGGTATTAAAGGTAATATTTATTTCTTCATGTATTTTTAGGTTACTTTATCGAATTTTTATATTACAAGACTTTCAGGACCATTTAATTAAAAATCTTATTTTTCATCATCTTATAAATTAATTTTTAATCCGTTTAAAACTTTTGGATCCATCTAAATAGTATATTAATACTATAATACTTTTTAATTTTATTTAAATTTATTACATTTGATGGTAATTAAAACAAATATATTTTTTTCTTTTGAAGATCTTATTAACTTAATTAAACATTTTCAAATTAAACATCATTATAATTGTTAAACTAATCTAATATGGACATTCTAAACTATTTTTTTTTTATATGATAATAATTAATTTTATATTCTTATTTATTTAAATTTAATTTTTATATTTATATAATTAAAATATAAACATAGTTATTGAAAAATATATTACATATAAAAGATAAAACAAATATATTTAATAATAAATAAAGAAAAAATAAGTTAAAAATATTAAAAAATGCCTAAAAAAGTTTTATTAATATTTAAAAATTAATTTTTTTTCAAAAAATAAGATATTTTTATAATTAAAAAAAATAAAAATAAAAAAAAATGTTTTTCAAAAATAGCATTAAGTTTGCAAAAAATTATGCAAACATAAATAAATAAAAGTTCAACTTTTAATAAGTATAGAAACATTTTACTACATAATATCTTAAATAAAATACTTAAATTGGTTTATAGAAGTAAGAAAATATTATTTTATATAAAAAAAATTAATTTATAGTAGCCTTAAAGATATAAGTATTAAATAATAAACTATTAATGCACTTTTAATTTCTTTATCATTAAGTTCTAATTTTGTTTTGAATCCAAGTTGCTTAGGTACTGATGATAGTCAAGGTAAATCAAATTTATAATAAACTTTTTTATATTAATATCTTTTTAAAAAATATATATATAGAAGATGAAGGTATATATAATATATTTATTTAATACTTTTTTTTTAATACATTGTTTTCATAAAAATTCTAATATCCTTATAGATGATGGTAGGTTTACATATAAAAATATTTATATAAACTATATTTTAATAATTCTTATTTTTTTATTTATTTTTTTAAAAAAAAAGGAGCAAGCTCAAATAGTAAGAAGTAACATAAGAATTGATTTAAATATAAAATAGTGTTTTTAAGAATAATTTAAAAGAATATACATTTTATTTATTTAATTGTTGAAAATAAATCACATAAAATATTATTTAAAATATAAACTAAAAAAAATAAAATTTATATATATGGAGTAAAATAAATTAAATATTTTTTTATTTTTTTTTAATTAATAAATAATATAAAATTAAATAAAAAAAAAAATTATTAAAACTTGTTAATTTTTATAAGAAAAAAGATAAAATAAAGTTTTAAAATTTTCATTATTTATTTTATTTTTTAAAATAAAATTTATAATATTTTATTTAAAAATTAATCATTTAAATAAAAATAAAATTGATATTTTTATAACAAATAGATAATTAAAAAAATTTAATTTATCATGTGAATTTTTTTAATTTATAGATAAAATTTTATTTTGATTAATATATATATATTTTTTATAAAAAAATTTAATAAAAAAATATTTATTATAATAAATTTATTAATACAATAATTAATAATAAAAAAAAATAAAAGTACTTTGAATGGACTAATAAGAAATAGAGTCTTTTTTATCTTAAATTTATAAAAATGAAACTCAAATGCAAAGAATGATAAAAGGTAATTTATTTATACAAATAACTTTATTAAAAATATTTATAATTAAAAATTTTATATCAAAAAGAGGTTAATTCCTTATATGAGTTAGAATAAGATTAATATTAGATTGAGTTAAGTGAAGAAAACAATGGAATTAGTATTTTAGTAAAGATTTACTAAAAATTCAAAATATAAACTTATATATATTATATTTTAAATAAATAGGTGGAATTATAAGAATAACTTTTAAACAATGAGCAATTAAAATATTTACTTTAATTTTAACCAATCTAATTTGAAATAATTTTGGATTAAAAATTTCCATTCTCATTGCCAAAAATATATTGTCTATCTACAGTAAAATTAATTTATTTAATAAAAAAAAAATATTTAAAAACAATAATATAGTTTTCATAGCCTACACTTGCTGATGGACGTGAGTTACTTTAAAATATTTTGAATAGCTAATGGAGCCCTTAAATACTTTTATTTTAAATAGTCTAATAATTGCCTGAATTTTTAGTAAATATATATATATATATATATTTATATGCTTACATAAAATTCATATTTTTTTTGTAAAAAAAAAAATAGTTATAAATTATTGAGAACTTATAAAACAGAAATTATTTGATAAACGTTGGAAAATTCATTAATGGAGACCAATATAATTTGGAACAGTTCATTTAACTTAATGATATAAACATAATTGAAGCGGAATAATAAGTGAATAGTTAAATAGTAGAAAGGTCTTTTTAAAAATATATAATTTTATTAAAATAAATTATTTCGTTTTATATTAAATTTATTGAATAAATATATAATTTATTTAAAAAAAAAAAAAAGATATATTGTTCTATCAGAATCTTATTTCTTAAATTTAGAAATTGTTGATAAGGAATAGAATATAGTCAAGCTTTACTCGAATTATTAATTGGGTTTTTTAAATAATATTTAAAGATAAAATGATGATGAAAACATGTTGACTTTTAATTGGAAAGATTCTAATGTAAATTAAATATATCTTTTTTATTTTTTTATTTTTTTTTAAAAAAAAAAAAGGATGATAAAATATTTGAAATATTTTCAGTAAAATAAAGCTAAAAATTGATAGAAATAATAATATAATATATGGAACAAAATGGTGCTGAAATAAAAAACCAAAATTAATTTTAAGAAATCCCAGAAGAGTCAGTTACTTTATAGTTTTATTAATCAGTTGATATTAATTAAATATAAGATGATATATATAATTGTGAATAACAATTAAAAGATAATCTAACTTTAAATAATATTAATTTACTTATGGAATTATATTAAAAAGCAATAGAATATTATTCAGCCATAAATAATAATGTTTATACAGGTAAAAATATTAATATTTTAAATGTATTTCTAAAATTCATTTACTTTTATTTAAAAAAATAAATAGATTATATTCAAAGATTATAATAATTATTAAGCTAATCTGAAATTCAAGAAGTTTTAAAAACAGAAGAATGTAAAAAAAACAAAGTTTTTCTTTTATTAAATTTAAAATTATAAAATTTAGAATCTTTAATTATGGAAAGAAGTAAATCTAATGAATTACAATAAAAAATGAATACTCAATAAGAGCAGATAAATGAAAAGCTATAATAAAACAAATATTAAGAATAATAAATAAAGACATAATAACAAGAATAAAATTTAAAATAATAAGAAAATAAATAAATAGAATTATAACCTATTTCAAATGAATCTGAAAGTAAAAATTAAGAAAAAGAAGAAGAAAAATAAAATTCAGAAAATTCTTCTGAAAATTTAAAAAAAAATCATTAACTAGAATAATAATAAGAATAAGATAAATAAGATTAATAGGAATAATAAGAATAATAGGAATAATAGAAATAATAAGAATAATAAAAATAATAAGAATAAGAATAAGAATAACAAGAATAATAGATATAGTAAGAATAATAGGAATAATAATAATAATAGGAATAATAATAATAAGAAGAATAATAAGAATAATAGTAATAATAGGAACAATAAGAATCATAAGAATAATAAGAATAATAAGAATAATAAGAATAATAAGAATAATAAGAATAATAAGAATAATAAGAATAATAAGAATAATAAGAATAATTAGAATAATAGGAATAATAATAAGAAAAATAAGAAAAATAAGAAAAATAAGAAAAATAAGAAAAATAAGAAAAATAAGAAAAATAAGAAAAATAAGAAAAATAAGAAAAATAAGAAAAATAAGAATAATAAGAATAATAATAAGAATAATAATAAGAATAATAAGAATAATAAGAAAATGAAAGCATTGTAAGTTAAACAACAGAAACAACTGAAACTTATGAAGGTGAACAAAAAAGCGACTAAAAAAAAAAGAAAGCCCCCCCATCAAGGGTATCAAAAAAGAAAAAATGAAGCTAAGTTTTTATGTGAGAAGAAAATAAAATAAAAAAACTTCAAATTTATATTTAATATTCAAAAATTCGTAAAAATCAATTACGCAAATATTATTTATTTTTATTTTTCTTATATATAATAAGCCCAAAAATAAATATTAATATATATATTTTTTTTTTTAATTAAATAAATAAATAAAAACAAATAAAATTAAATATATATTTAAATAAAAAATCTCAATTTTATATATTTTTGTCTGTATTGTTATCTATAGTTTTATTTGAAGAAACTAAGCATTAACAAGTTTCTCTATCACAAAAAGGTGCATTTTTTGTAAATTTACAGCCACAAAGTTATATTTAATTAACTGCTTCTTCAATTGTAAACCTAAAAGGAATAAAAGCAGTTCCTTTATGAGATCCATCACAAAAAGGCTTTTTTATAAAAATAATATGATTTAAATACAATGGATATTATTACTTATGATAAACTTAATCCACAAGAACACCATTTATATTTTTTTTCACCGACTTTAGGATTTTTAACCTTTATTATTTGTATTTTTTTAAGTAATTAATTTAATTTATTACTATATATGGCGATAATTTTGGAGAAACTGGAATTGGATTTTAACTTGATAATGTTCTATCATATGAATTTTTGCCATCATAATGAATTATTTTTATTTCTACATCTGTTATTTGGGTTGGCTTTGTTGATGTTTGAGTTACTATGAATTCTTCTTTTGGAACTTCTTTAAGCTTTTTATATGTAAATTTTAAATTTTTTATAAAATTTGTTTAGATTTGTTTAAAATTTCTTTTAATCATTTTTTTTTTTTTATATCTTTTTTTTTTTATTTAATTAAAAATTTATGTTTAATTTATTATAAAAATATTTGTTTTTTTTTAAAAAAAAATTAAAATTATTTTTTATTTAGTATTTTATTAATTTTAAGAAAAATGAATTTTAAAATATAAAATAAAAATAATAATAATAATGTTGTTGATAATAGCATTTGTTTTAATGATATTAATAAAACAATTAATCAAAACATTTTAAATAAAAATAATATTTCAGTTCTAAATATAAATTAAGATTAAAAATATGAATAAAACTTTAAAATATATCCATTAATTTAATAAGCGAATCAAATTACAAATTAGCAAACATCAAAAGTTTTTTATTTTTTCTTTTTTTTTTAAACAAAAAATTAAATTTATTAATTATAACTATAAGTATTATGAAGCAATTTATTATTAGATTTATTTAAAAAATATAATCATTTTTTTTAAAGGAAAATTAATATGCTATTCGGCAAGTTTTACCTACCCTTTACTTGTGATATTTTTAATAACAATTTCAATCCTTATTACATATTTATATCCAATTTAAGTATTTTTTAATTTATTTTAAATATTTATGAATTTTAGTATTTATATAATGATGAAAATTACAATTTCATAACTTTAACTTATACTGTTTTAGTTTTGTTATAATACTTTAGTTTATTAAAAACTTTATTTACAAATCCAGGAATAATTCCAAAGAAAGTAACTTAATTACATTTTTTTAAAAAAATAAAAACATAAATAAGATAAGGAATAATATTGATGAAAATAAAATTCCAGATAAAGTAGATAAAAATAGAAAATATTAAAACTTTATAAAAAAAATAGCTTTTTCCTGATAATATTATAATATAAAACAAAAATAATGTTGATAGGTTAAAATATTGTGAAACATGTAAATTTATAATTAATATATTCATAATAATAAATTTTTAAGGTTAAATATTCAGACCTCCAAGATCATCCCACTGTTCTTTTTGTGACTATTGTGTTGAAAAAATGGATCATCATTGTAAATGGTTAAAAATATGTATAGGTAAAAGAAATTATAAGTAATTTAAAATACATATATAATTATAAAAATAAAAATATAGAAGTTTCTATTATTTTATATTATTATTGAATTCTGTACTAATATACAGTTTTATATTAAACTTATAATTTATAATTGAAAGAAATAATAATTTTATGAAAATTTTCCTTAGTCTATTATTAGTTTTATACTTAGCAATCTTTATTATTTTAACGCTTCACTTATTAATTTTTAATAGTTTTTTGATATTAATAAATAAAACAACAAGGGAATATATAAAATATAAAAAAAATGATAAATAAATGTATTTAAAATATATATATTATATATATATATATATATTTATATGTTATATGTTTACATGTTTATATATTATTTATATTTATTTTATTAAGTATAATGAATTTGAGCGAACTTATAAAATTTTTCTTTTAATTTAGATAAATTTCTTCATATTTAAAAAGTGATAAAATAATAAGAATATAAATTAACGAAACACCTGATGATTTTAAATTAAATTAATATGTTGAAAGTGATTCGAATAAATCATAATGTTTGTTTAATTAAAAATCTTTGCTTGAAGCAAGAAAACTATAAACAATTAATTAAGAATAAGAATATTAAAATGAGTAAAATAAATATTAAAAAACTTTCTTGAAGAAATATTTTTCAGAAAAGAATCTTTAAAAGGAAATTTTTTTTACATCTAAAGTTAAAAAAGATAAAAAAAATATCTAAAATATATCATAAAAATGATATTTTTTATTATAAAAATAATTAATATATATATACTTTCATTCAATATTATATAAATAATTATATATATATTCGCATTTTTAAGAAACAATTTCATTTGGAAAGTCCAATAAATCATTTAATATAGACTTTAAATTAAGTTTTTCTAAATGCATTAAAATAGGATTTTGCTTATTAAATTAATCTTCTAGTTAATAACCTTTTTAAATTAAAATATTAATAGCTTCAATTGTACTATTTAATATATCTATATCATCATATTAAAACCCATTAATCAATAATTAAAGCATCCCTTTTTCACACATATATCCTGTTTATTTTAAACTTGAATGAAAGCAGAAATTTTCAATATAAAAATAAAGCTACTTTTTTATCTTTTTATTTTATAATATATTTATTTATAATAGTATATAAAATCCTAAAAAAAAAATATGTCCGCATTTATTATTAAAAAAAAAAGCGGAAATACAAAAATTATAGGATTTTAAATATTTTTTATTTTACTTAAAAGCATCCTCTTTATATTAATCTAAATATATTTTCTGTTAAGTTTTGTTATTTTAATATATCTTCTATTATATTTTCATTTGAGTAAATTATATTGGTTAAAATTTCGCAGCCAATTAATTTTATTGTATTACTTTTTTAACAAAAAGATTAAGATATAGATACTAATATGCTTTATAAAAGCAGTTTCTATTAAAATAATATAAATTAATAATTATATTATTTTATAAAATTTATATACTTATGATTAATCATAATTTCTATAAAAAGATATATTTCTAATAATTTAATAAGATTTTTTACGAACTGATTTGCATTCACTATATGTTAAATTTATTATATTTTAAATACTTTACATTTCTAGAATATTTTTTATTTTTCGAGATTCTCCTTCACTTAAATTTCTCAAAGAAACTAAAATATTTAATAGAGTTTTCTCATTTTATTAATAGAGTAATTATTCATCAAGTATAAAAATAAAATTTTTAACCTTAAAATAATTATATATAACAAAATTTTAAATAATAAAAATACAATTTCATAAGGATGAGGTCTAATGCTATATATTCTAATAAACCACTAAACAAGTTCAATAAATTATTCAGATTATTTATTTTCTTAATACTATTATATAATATAATTCAAAATACCTTATTTTAACGATTAATCTCTAACATCAATATATTCTTGGCTTAAATTTCCTAATCCAATTAATCCCTTTTTAAAAAAATTATATGAAAAAATAATAAAATATGTATAATAAGAATTTAATATACTATTTTAAAATTCAAATTACAGTTTAAAATAACTTCAAATTTTTTTACTTAACTAAAATGCACAAAGATTTGACTATTTCAAATGAGTTTTCTAAAGTTTTAGAAATTAAATCTTTATTTGAAAATGTTATATTTGATATTATTTAAGCGCACTCAATAATTATATTTGTATTGTAAATATCATTTTAGTTAATTATTTTTTGCACATAATTTATAAACTCAGAATTTATTATTTTACTTATAATTTAAATATCTTTGCTTTAAGTACTAATCCTAATAATTTCTAAATAATTATTAAGTAAATCTTAATTGCTTTAATATTATTTATAGATTTCATTTAAATCAGGCTTTTATTATTAATAATTAAAGGGTTAATTATATAAAAATTTATATTAAATATATATTTAATATATATAAACATACATTATTTTTAAATTAGTCTAAAAATAAAGCAATATTTTATTCTTAACTTTTAGTTTAGATTTCTTATTGATTATGCTATTAAAGCAGAATTCTTTTATTTAAAAATTATTTATTCTTTTTTTTGTTTCTTAAGTTTTATTATAATTATTCTTTTTTATATGAAATTGCTTATTAAATATTGTTGTAGTTTCCTTAAATTTATTAGGTGTTTTAAAACATTTTTACAATTAAAAAAAAAAAAAAAAAGTCTTTGTAATATTTTTTTGTTTATATTAATTTGAAAATAAATAATATTATTATTAAAATTAATAAAAGATACAAAATATAAGAAATTTAAAATTATAAAAATATCTAATATGATAATAAGAATTATATTTTTGAAAAATAAAAATATAAAGGACAAAAAAATAAAATAAATAGATAATAGAATAAATAAATTATATTTAATATAAAAAATACATAAATTATAATTATTAAATATTTTTTATTATTTAACTTTTTCGTTAAATATCTTAAAAAATAACTTTATTTATATTTAGTTTAATATAATATTTTCTTTTTTAATTAAAATAATATTCATATTTGTAAAAGAATAATTCATTCATCACCAAAATCAATTTCAGAAAGCATACTTTACATGAGCTTTATATTTTAAATTAAAATAAATAAATAAAAATTTATACATTATTAAAATTTACATTAGCAGTTTCAGATTTGAAATTTCCTTCTACTTTTGTTTTTTATTAATTTGTTTTAATTTATTGACTAGTCTATATTTAACTTTAAGTGTTAAGCATATCGTCTTCATCATTTAAAAATTTGTTATTTTATTCAAATTAATACTATTCATTATCAATATCTATTTAATTTTTAGCATTGTCTTGGATTTATTCTTCTAATTAATTTTCCTCTTCTTGTAAATCTTATTCTTCATCTTATTAATTTTCAAATTATTACTATTCATCTTCTTAATTTTCACCTTCTTGTTAATCTAATTAATCACATTAATTAATTTTATCATTACATGTTTCCTTGACTTAATTTTTCTTTATATTTTTAACTGGTGTTCTTCTTTTTTCATCAAAAGGAATTTTAAAATCTGGATTATTTTCTTTATAAAATTAATCATCCATTTTAGCTCTTTCATCTTTTGCTTTTTTAGCCAAATCTAGTCTTCTTTAATTTGCTGTTTTTATTATTTTTTTCTTATTTTTTCTCTTCTGTTGAATTTAAATTAAATTTTAATTCATTAACATCAACATGAAAATCATATTCAGTTATTTTTAAATAATATCCCTCTATTCTTTCATTTTTTTCTTAAGCTTTTTTCGCCATCATTTTTATATCTTCATGTGTATATTTTTATACACCAGGTATTTTTATATGTGGGGTTTCTATTTCGACTACAATTCTATTGTGTTTAGGAGGATTTTATTTGGTTTCCATTATGAGAAGTTTATTATATTTATTTTTTCTAATTCAGACAAATTTTTTTTTTTTAAATTTTTTTTTTTTTTTACAATAAAAAAACTGATTAAATAAATAAAAAAATGTTGTCATTTTATTTAAAAAAATAAAATAAAATATAAAAAAAATTATTTGGTATTTATATGTTCATTTTTCAATTGGGTAACCACAAATTGTACTCATGGGATTAAATATTTAAGCTTACCATCCCTTTTCTAGTTATTCAATATTTACTTTTGAAGGTATATTTTATTAACTAATAATAACTTCACATTCATCCTAAATAAAATAAATTATAGGTTAGTTATAAATAAAATTAATATACATCTCTATCTATAAAGGTAAATTCAACGTTTGAATCGTTTGGCCAATCGGCTTATTTCCAATTCATTTTAATAATATATTTTTATGAATCCTTTTAATATTTATTATTATTTATATTTTTTTATTTTTTATTTTATTTACTAATTCAGTAAATTATCCTATTATTCTGCCTTCTAAAATAACATATTAACCTCCTACACTTGGCTATACTTAGCAAGGACATCTAGTATACTTCATTATTTCTCTATATTCGTTATATTTAAATTAAAAAAGTTTTCAAAAAAATTATTATATTATTAATTACTGAGGATCAATAAGTGCATTATATATTACTTTTGCAGGAACTTCAAAGGTTATAGAAAATTTTAAACTTTAAGACATTTTTTTATTTTGATTATTATTTTTATATATTTTTATGTATTAAATTTATTAGGATATATATATAAAAGAATTTTTTATATATATATATTCTTATTTTTATCAAATTAATAATTTCTAAATTTTTCTAATTTTTTATAATCAATTTATTTAATATATTAATTTTTGTTTTCTAGAAAATAAAATTATATATAAATATTTATCAATGTATATTAATAAATAAAAAATAAAAAAAATATTTTCCTCTATTTAATAAATAATTAAAAAATATATAAATTAGAAAGAATATAAATTATAAATATTTTATATATTTTAAAAATTATTTATTTATTTAATTTTTATTAAATTTTAATAAAAATATATATATATATATATATATATATATATATATATATATATTACTAAAAAATATATATTAATATGCGATTTAAACATAATTTTTTAAGTCTATAGTTTTTTTTAATTTTTTATATTTTATAATTATTTAATTAATTTTGTTGTGTATGTTTTTTCATAATATAAAAAAGTAAGTATTAAATTCTTCTAAACAAAAAAAATAAGTAATTTTTTAATAGTTTTATTTATTATTTATAAATAAAAAAATATAAATATTTTGGTTACTATTCAATGTAAACATATAATTTATAAAATTCATAAAAAAATTAACGATTTTGGTAACTTAATTATAATTTATAAATTATTATTTAAAATATATATTTATTTATATAGCTATATAATTTTAATCTATATTTTTAAGATATAAGTTATTACTATTGCTCTACTTCCTTTTTTTTTCTACTTTATATTATTAATTTTATTAGAAAAAAATTCAAATAATCATATTATATGCATTTTTTTGTATAAATTTTTTAATTTAACACTTTTTTATATAGCAAATTATATTTTTAGGTAAAAGTTAATTTACATATATTTTACCAAAATAAATAAATAGATTAGATGCCTTAAAAAAAGAAGAAGTTCTTTTAAGTATTATATAAGTAAATAATAATTGAAATAAAAATAAAAAATTAAGCTAATTTAATTTTTAATAAAAAAAAACAAAATTCTTTATAGTTTTTTTTTTTTAACACAAAATATAAATTTAAATATTTTTACAATTTTTATTTATCATTAGTAATTTTTATAATTTAATATTTTTCCTTAACTAATTGAATCTAATATCCATTTATGTGAGACATAAATAAAATCATTTTGACTTTTATTATTATTATCTTTTAAATTTAAACTCTTAATTTTATTTTTTAAATTTTCAAACTTATTTTCATCATTTTATTATTTTAAACTATTTTTATTTTAACTTTTTTAAGAATTATTAATTATATAATAAAAGTTATTTTCATTTTCAGGAATTAAATAAAATACATTTCCTCCCGAATCTTTAATTAATTATGCCAAATCTTTATTACAAATACTTTTTTTCGAGTTTTTTTTAAAGACATTAATATAAAAATTTATATTTTAAAATAAAGATCCTAATCCTTTCTTTTTAAAAGATTATAAGTTTTATTAATAATTTTATATTTACGTTCAATCTTGATATTTAAGGAGTCTTTTATCCATATAAGTCGCCTTATATTTCATATTCGATTTCATTTTTTAATTCATTATATCCATTAGAATGTATAATCCCTTGTATTTAAAATATTAATTTGAATATATATAAAAATATTATATAAAAATATATATATAAATATATATATATATATATATATATATATATATTTATATATATATATTTTTATATATATATTTATAATTTATTATTAAACAATTAAATTCAACAATCCATATTCCTTTTACTAATGCTTATAAATATTTTAAAGTTCTAGTTGCTATATTTTAATTTGTTATTTTTTAATTAGTATAAACAACTAAGTGAGTTATATGTTTATTCCATTCTTTAAACTCTTTTGCATTATGCAGTTTACAAAATTTATTAATTTCATGCTTTTAAAATTAATATTTATTTATATATATCCTTTTTTTTATTTACATAATAGTTTTCTGGCATATTGCTTGTTAATAATTTAATTTTAGAATTTTCAGGCTTTTAATTTAAATTAGATATATAATAATATTTATATATTACTTTTTTTTAATTATCTTACAATTTATTTATATCATGATTATTTTTTTATTCAAAAACTTAATTATTTATTTTAATATTTTTGTTATATATACAAGTTTAAATATTTGATTTATATAATTAATACTTTTACAAGGAATTAACATTTCATCTGATTTTCTTTTATTTATATTAAGTATATTTTAATTACTAATTTGTATAATTTTATTATTTTCTTTTTAAATAGGCTTGATTCTTGATAATACTTCTGTCAAAATTTAAGCTTTTTTATCATATAAAAAGTTTCTTTTTCCAACAGGGACTTTACATAGTGGACATAAAGAACTTTTTACTCCACAACTTTAAATGTAAGAAATTAAGCAATTTTTACAAAACGTGTGATTGCAAAATGTTGTTATTGGCTCATTATAAATATCTAAGCTTTTTTAAAAAAATATATCTTATAAATTTTTTATTTAATCATTGATGTAAGTATTACCAGATATTACAAGTAATTTCTTATTTTAATAATTAGTAATCTTACTCTTCTAAAATATAATTACAATTTTACAGTTTTAAAGCATCCATATTTCCTTTTATTTCTTTTTTTTTTCAATTAGTATTATTATTAAAAATTTTCAAAAAAAAAAAAAAAAAACTTAAAACAGATTCGGCGCAAAAATCAATATATAAAAAGTATAATTAATATATTATTAAGTAAAAATAGCATAAAATATAAAAAAAATTATTAAATATTAAAAAAACTCATTAATATTATTGAAAATTAAATATTATAAATATATATATATATATATATATATATATATATATATATATATATATATATATATATATATATATATTTCTTTTAATTTAATTTAATTTAATTTAATAATAAATAAAATTTAAATAATTTATTATGAATTTTAATATTTTTTAAAATTTTTTATAATATTTATAAATACTTAATATATATTTTTTTAAATTATTTAATTATTATTATTAAATAAATATTATAATTTATTTAATTTTTTATTATTAAATATAAAAAATTCTTAATTTTCATTATAATTGCATTATATTTTCTTATTGTAAGTTCTTAAGGATTTTAATAACAAAATTTTATTATATCGAAAATTTAATATAATTATTATATATTAATCTTATTAAGGTTTTCTTATTCTTTTAAATTTATTTTTATATTAAACATACTAATTTAACAGTTTTAGACGTAAAAATACTCATTTTTAAATAGAAAAATAACATAAATAATTAAAGAAGTATAAAAATGAGAATTAGAGATGAAAAATATGTTTTTTTTATGTTATTCATTATAAATAATTTTATATAAATAAATAGCATAATCCACACAAAAGACTTTAAGAAAAATATTCGAAACTCTTTATTAATTTTTCAATTGTAAAAAATGAAAATATTTTCTACATACTCTACGAATAAAGAATTCCAGAATTTTTTCAGGACATTAAATAATTAAAATTAACAAATAAGCTATTTTTTTTCTAAATAATATATTTCATTTTTCAATACAAACCATTTCTATATAAGCTTTTTATTATAAATAATTAATAGAGTTAATTTAGAGTATTAAAATATTTAAATGCTTATTAATATTATTAAATTAGTTATAGATTTTTTAAAATTCCAAAGTAAGAAATAACCCTGCTCCTATTTTGTTTCTAAAGTATATATAATTTTTACTTTGAATGAAAATCATTATGGGGGAGGGTGGGATTAAAAAAAGCAATAATTTTACTTTTCGCTTTTATATGTTTCATTGTTTTTTTTCGATAAAAAAAAAAATTGATTGCTTATTTCATAATTCGTTTATTTTTATCATAAAATATTAGCTCTTAGTATATAATAAAGTTTAATTATGACCTACTTCTTTTAATAATGGAAAATAATAAATTTCTACAAAAGCAGAAGTATATAAAGGATTTTTGGATTTATAAAGTTTGTAAATATTCGATATAAATAAATAAAGTATAATTTTTAATCAATTAAGATGGAAAACTTTTTATATTTCTTTGAAATTATGAATACTAATTATATATTTTTATATTGATAGATATAATTGGTAATATTTTTTAAAAAAAAGTCTACATTTACATTTAAAGACTCATTTATAGTCAATGGTATTTTTTAATATTTATATAAAGTATTATTTTTTTACAATTTCCGAATTATAAAATTCTGTATATATTTAAGGTTTTTTATCAAATATTTTTAACATTTTAGTTGTTTTAATATAATTAATCTAATTTTTGATATTTATATATGTTATATTTTTAAATTATATATTAAAAAAACCTTATATTTCGTTATCGTATTTTAATTATTAAATTTATATTTTATATATGTTTTTAATTATTTGAAAATAAAATAAAATATATATATATATAATTTATTAAAATATCAAGGTATATATTCATAAATATTAGGATCATCAGCATTTCTATTAACATATTCTCCCTATAAATCTTCCAAGCATTTTTTAACATGAGGAATTTTAGGTTCAAAAGTTCTTCCAAATTATCTTATTAACTCAATAGTTTCTTTAAGCAAATCATTATATTTCATTACTTTTTTTGATTTCATAATTTTAACTAGATAAGATTTAATCATACAAGTTCTTTAATATTCAACTTTTAACGCAACTTCATCTTTTTCTTATTAAGAAACCTTAAATTTAATTATAATAATATTTTTTATTGACAAAAAATAAATAAAATAAAACCTAAACAGTCTATCTTGGAACTATATTAATAACTTTTTTAGGATTTTCGAATTATGTATTAATTTAAACAATAGACTCTTCAGTATATTATTCCCCTTCTTATGTAAAAAGTATTTTATTTTTAATAAGATTTTTAAAATTCAAATCAAATGTTTCTTTAGAAATTCCAGTTCCTTCAATTAAATCAGAGACTTTGCATGTGCTTAATTCTTTTATTTTCATACAAATTAACATTTAATATGTTGAAGTTCTTAAAATAAACTTTCCTTAAAATGCCTTTTTATTATTACTTAAAAAGTTAATTTCTGCCGAACCTTCGTTAAAAAGCCATCCTAACTTTCTTTATTTAAAATTATTTTTAAAATTGTTCATAAATGAATCAATTGCATCTTTAAAAGAAGAAGGGAAAATACATCTCTCTAATTGAACTTTTTTTAAAGGCCAAGAAACACTATTTAATACATAAATACTTAGGTTATCTTGTTGTATATAATTTTTATATTATTCATTTGTTTCTATGTCTTATATCATGTTTTATAAACTGTTTAAAGTTGGTAATGCACCTACTTAATTCTTTAAAGATTATATTTTTAAAAAATTAATATAATTTTTATTTTTTATAAACCTTAAACTTTGTAACTATTTATTTTTCTGCTATCATATTTTTAGAAGAAAAAGTAATCAGTCTTCGACATAATCTTTATTGATAATATATTAAAAATTCATCCCTTGATGTATTTAAATAATTAAATATTGTTGTTATCTCTTATATTTTTAATGTTATTTCATCATCAGAATATTCTTTTTTATAATAAAATTATATAAATTTACATATAAATAAAAAAATAACATGTTTTCATTATTTAATCTGAATAAATGGAAAGGTATAAAGCAGACATTTTGAAACACCTTAAACCCATTTAAAAAGCATTATCTCTTGCTTTTTCAATTTCGATATCTTTATTAAATAATGTAGAAATTTAATCATCTAAAAAGTTTTTTAAATTAATGATTTATTTTACCCATTCAATAGATAGTTCAGCTATTTATATATTTTTTATTTTATTTTTTTAAATAATTACTTTTTAAATCTATAGGATTTTTAGATTTTTCTTATTAACCTATTTTTAACTTTTCATCACTTTCTTTACATATATCAGCAATTCTTCCTTCATAAAAGACTCTTATTTTCGTGGCTAACTTTTATAAGGAAGGCTTTGTTCTTTTTAATAACTAATATAAATCTTAGATTTCGTTATTTTTTTAATGTCTTAACATATTTTCTATTCCACTATAATGATCTAAAAGTTTATCATCTTACTTAGAAATGAATATTTAATTTATTGTTTCTGTTACTTATTAAAAAGAGCGAGGATAATAATCATGGCATAGTTATTCTTCTTTAGATATTACTATAAGAGCTACTTGCACATATTCAGGAGTATTTTTATTCGACCAATCACTTACTTTTTGATTTAGATATTTTGATATCTTTTTATTATTTATTATGTTATAAAAAAAAATGTATCTATAATTTTATAATATACTTCTTCAATATAAGGATTTTCAAAAAGTGTTTTATAACTATATTAACTAATATCTTGATCTTCACTACTAAAGTTATTATTTTGGGTTTTTTCGACTGCTGAATCAGAAATAACTCTTAATTTATGACTTTAGCGGTCTTCTTCGATTTTAATTTCTTCTTTAAAATCTTAATCATTATAAATTTAAATTAAACGCTTTAAGTCTTCTTTCGGAACATCTTAATTTTCTCTTGCCTTACTTACAAATTTAAAAATGTTTGATATCAAATCTTTTTTTAAATCACTAAAATAATCTTTTCTAAAAATCTCAAAGCAAGCCCTTTAACATGATGTTTATCTTTTAGCTTTAAAATAAAAAATATCATGAGATTATAAAAATTTATTTATCCATAGTGTTAATATGAGAAAATTATTGTAATGCTTAGATATCATTTTTATATATTCTTCTTCTTGGATATTTTTATTTTTTGATATTTATAATTCTTATTTTATTTCTTTTATAAATGAATTTACACATGATTCTTACCATTATCCTATTAAATCAAATTTATCTGTATTACGTATTTCTCTTTATATTAATATAATTTTTTATATATGTATTATTTTATTTTATTTTTTTTACGAATTTAATATGCAATAATCAGCATTTGTAAAATTTATATTTAATCCAGTTCGAAAATTTTAACGAACACTATTTATTATAACATCTGCTTTTTTTAATATTTCAGCAGTTTCTTATTCAGTTTTGGGTTTATATAAAGGTTGATTCATATTGAATTTTTTTTATATAAATAAATAAAATTTCAATTTTAATTTATATATTTTTAATAATATAAAATATAAGTTTTTATTTAATTTTATTGTATTTTGTTAAATTTTGTTAAATATCAAAATATCAAAATAATCAAACAAAAATACTGCGACATAAAAATATTAATAAAATATCCAATGTAAAATTATTTTATATTTTTTATATTTTTATATTTAAATAATAATATTTATTTTTATATAATATTAAAGCTATTTTTTGTAAAATTATGCTAATAAATTTTTAAAATTATAATACATTTTATCTAAAACTTATTTATTAGTATATTTAGTTAGGTTTTTTATCATATAAGAAAAAATAAACAATTATTATTATTAAATAAATTTTAATAAAAAAAAAAAATCAATTTTTAAAATGTATAATAATCAAATTTAAGTTTTTATTGAGTTATAACTATATGTATAATTCAATATATACCTGCTTTATATAAATATAAAGTGAAAGAATTAGATAATTAGTAAAGTATATAGAGTTTATCCATAAATTATTATGATTTTTTGATATAAATAAAAAAAAAATATTAATAAAATAAATAATTTATAAATTATTGTTAATTATATATATATATATATTTATATATTTATATATAAAAAAAAAATTAAAAAATAAAACATAACAATATATTTTTAATTGATTCATATATTTAAAATAAGAAATAAAATTTTATAAATTAAAATAAAAAATTTAACAAATCTATATATAGTATATAATTGAATAAATATAATTATAATTGAAAATATTTATAAATATTAATAAATATTATTTATTTTTATAAAATAAATAAGAATATTAATAATATTATTAAATTATGAATGTATAAGATATTTTATAAAAAAATAATATATAATATATAAAATAAATTGGATATGGATGTTTTTCAGTAGTATATTTAGGTTATAATACTTAAAATAAATAGATAATAGTAATAAAATAAATATTAAAATAGAACAATCAATCAAAATTATTTGAGAAAGAAATAAAAATTTTAGAATAAGTTAAAAAATGCTAACTATAAATTAAAAATTTAAATACATTTTAGAATACATATATAGTTTTTAGGATGATTTTAATTGTTATATAATAACTAAATATTATTAGAATAGCATTACTTTTTAAGATTTTTTAGAAAAAAATAACGAATAATTAACAGAAATGAAATAACTACATTATTATTATTAAATTTGTTTAGGAATTTCGGCATTACATTAATTAGGATTTTCTCTTAGAGACATAAAAACAACAAATATACTTTATTTATAAGATATAGATGAGATAAGAATTATAGATTTAGGGTTTGCAAAGAATTTTTTCCATTAAATAATACAATAATAGGCCCACCTTTTTATTAATCACCGGAAATAATATTTACAAGACAATATGATTCTTTTAAAAATGATGTTTGGAGTCTAGGTATAATATTATATTAAATGAATCATTAATTAAAACATCCTTTTCTGATAAATTTTGATTAAAATATTGATTTAAACAAACATTTGATTATATAAATAAATAAATATGAAAAAAACTCTTAACAATTAGTAATTGATTAAAATTTAGTTTATAGCCATTATTTAATAAATCATAGTTTAGCTTTTTATTAAGATAATAGATGGAACTTTAAAGATATAGTTTAATATTTGGTAAGTAATTTTTTTAGGGGAAATGGGAAAGAATTAAATGTGAAATTCGAAGATTCTTTTGGAAACGAAAAGCTTATTTTTAATAATTCTAATATTTTTTTATAGAAAGAAAAAAAATATTTTGTTTGGCTTAAATTTAAACTTTTATTGACAAACTTTTTTGTAATATTGAAAATTGTATTATTAGTGAGAAAAACAAAATTAGGTAATATTAAAGATTTTATGAAATAAAACTTCTCCATTTTATTATTTCTACCTTATTTGAATATTAAAATTTCTAAAAATAATTCTTTTATAGTTCTCTTAATAATTTCTTTATTTAAAAATTAATAAAAGAGGACAGTCTTCCTTAAAAGTTAGAAAAATATAAATTAGTTTAGTAAAAATTAGGGCAATTATTAAAAAGTTTCAAACCTTTATAAACTAAAAGTACAAATATTTTCATATAAATGTTTAATATTCATGCTTAAAGTAATTTTAATATTGCAAATGAAGAATTATTTTAAATATTTATTTAATAATTATTAACTATATATGATTTTATTGAAAAAGAAATAATAATATCTTAATAAATGGCAAAATATTCATTTGTATTTTATTAAATAAAAGAAATGAAGATAACTAAAAATGATTTATTTATATGAAAAAAATAAAAAATAAAAAACAATTAAATTATTTAAAAATTTATATATATATATATATAAAAATAAAATAAAACTTAAACAAAAAAACAAATAAATACAATGGAGAACCATTTATCAAACGACCGCATAATATCTTATCATAGAAATAAATTAGATTACATAGAATCTCCAGAAAATAGCTTATAGTTTGCATTTGGAGATCGTCGATATGAAAAAATGGCAAGATAATTAGTATAAGAAACTGATATTTTAAAATTAAAAATATTAACAGAAATCAATGAAGACTTTAGAAGATCAGATTTTATAAATTTGGCATTATTAAGTAGCGATATATTGGAAGTTTTAATAAAGCATTTTTAAGATAAATCATAAAATATAAGGGAGTTAGCTTCTCGTTCTATTGTTTAAGTATGCTCTCTTAATTATGGGAGAGATAGAATTATTGAAAAAGCACATATTCATAATATTTGTTCTTTAATAGATGATAATGTTTCTTAAATAAGAACTAATTCATATAATGCAATGCTAAATTTGGCCGAATATAGAATAGGAGCTGAACATATTTTGATAGCTGAAAAATTACCACTTTTTGTGGACAAATTAATAGAAGAAAAAGAAGAAAGCATATTAATATAAGTATTGTAGTTAATAAAAAAGTTACTTGAAGGTGAAGGCGGAACTGATATCATTTTATAAACTGAAGCAATTTAAAGACTAACTAACCATTTAGAACATAGAAATTAAAAAGTATTTTTTTGTTTTTTGGAAATATAAAATAATTGTATTATTTTTTATTTATTTTTATTAAAAAAAAAGATTAGAGAACTTTCGGCTATTAATTTAGCTTGTATTAGTTTTTTGGAAACAGGAAAAATCAAAGAAATGGAACTTAATTGTGTATTGCCTTTATGTTAAAAATTAGAAGACTAGTAAAGTTCAGTCAGAGAAGCTGCTAGTATCTGTTTAGCTTCTTTAGCTTAAAAAAACTAAGCGAAATTTTAAGTTATTTTTTTTAATTTAATTATTTTATTATTTTATAAAAAAGGTTTTGGAATATTAATATTTTTAAAAAATAATCTCATTATTAGATGATCCCTCTCTTTAGACTAAACTTAATATTATTTAATTAATTGCTTCTATTTCTGAACATCCAGTAGGAAGAAAAATTGCTCATGAATGTTTACCAAAGTTAGAATAACTTAAAGAAGATAAAGATAATGAATATTTAGTTCCTTATATTTTATAAACTGTTGAAGTTATTACATGGGTTCCTTGATATTTTTTTTTTTTGCAAATATATGTTTTTGTATTTTATTTTTAACAGATAAATAAAATAATATGAATAAATATTTTGAAACAAAACAAAAAAAATATTGTTTTTTTATAGTGGATTTACTTAAATAAAATTAAGTATATATAATCAATTTATTATGATTATTTAAAGAATAGCTTTTTTATTTATTATTAGAAAAAAAATGCGATATAGTTTTAATTTATTTTATTTATAAATAAATAGATTTTTAGCGAGTAAGAATTGAGTCTTTATTCAAAAATTAAGTAAAATTCTATAATTAGAATAATATAATAATATTTTACTTGTTCATATTTTTTGGTTTATTTTTTTAAAAAATCAATTAATAATAACAAAAAAGGAAGTTATCTATTTTATTATATTGATTTTAGTTTAATAATAAAGGAATAAATTATAGAAAAATATAAAAAAATATGAAAAAATAATAGTTAAAATATATTATTTATTTTTCGTGTTTTTTTATTATTATTATTCAGTAAATATCAATAAACAATCTAATTTAAAAATTAAATTATAAGAAAAAATAAAATAAATAAATAAATATCATTTAAATAAGAATATAAATATTTAAAAACATTCTAAAAATAAAAATTATAAATAAATAATATAAAATATTTATAAAGAGCTTAATATTCTTATAAATACAAAACACATTGAAATTATTTAAAATAGGGAAACTTTAATAGTATTTTTTAATAAGGATTTACGAAAAAAGATCTAAATTTTTATAAAATACTCCTTTTAATATCAAGAAGGAAAAAAAAATCTTTATTTATTTTAGATAAAAAAAAACATAATTTTATTTATTTATTTATTATAAAAAATAAATTCAATATTATTAAAATATATTGTAGATTTTATTTTTTCCTTTTTTTAACTAAATAAAAAAATATTTATTAAATAGTTAATTTTAAGACAAATAAAATTAATGAAAAAAAAAAAAAATTATTATAAAAAGAAAGAAAAAAATTTATAATTTTTCAACAATAATTTAAATAGTGAAATAAATATGTAAATAATATAATAATATTAATAATTTTAATTAAAAATTAAAAATAGCTTAGAAAAATAAGGTAATATACCAAAAATTAGCTATCATAATATTATGATTAAAATTCATTATTTTTTCAGTTTAAGTTAAAAATAATAATAATAAAAGTTTAAAAATAATAATTACATTAAAAGTTTAATTCTATTTTAAAATATACAATCAAAATTTACAATTTTATAATATTTTTTTTTATATATTAAATTTAATATTTTTTCGCCTTATAAGGTGTTATTATTTATTTTAATACCCTTATATATAAATTTATAAAAAACAATAAAAAAAAAATATGAAAAAATAAATAACTAATGAATGTTATTTTTACGAAAATTAAAAAATTGGATAAGGAGGGTTCGCGTGTGTATATAAAGGAATATATAAAAATTGATAGGTTGCAATAAAAGAGCTAAAATCAAAGCTACATGATGGATTGACTTAAAATCTATATTTCGAAAAAGAAATATAAATTTGTCGTGAAGTCTAGAAAATATAAGGAAACGATAATTTATTATAAATTATTGATATAATATAAAATTAAGAAGATATTTATTATATTATTATGGATCTTTGTGAATATTCTTTAAGCTAATATTTATATAAAAAATTAAACAGATAATTAAATAATAATGAAGTATTAGATTTTATTTTGTAAATACTTAATGGATTAAAATCTTTACATGATAATAACCTTTCTCATAGAGATATTAAACTAGATAATATATTAATTAAATATTGTAATTAGAAAGATATAATTTTAAAATTAGCCGATTACGGACTTGGAAAAACATAAGAAATAATGAAAGTAATAATTAAATATTTGCAATTTATATTTTACATTTTAATTTAAAGACAAAAGTAGGGACTATTAATTATATGGCACCTGAAATGCTTGATTTACAAAATTTAGAATATAATAAAAAAGTAGATATTTGGTCTTTAGGATGTATTATACATGAACTTATTACAGGATCAAAACTATTTAAAGGCTAAAATGCAAATCAAATAAGGCTAAATATATTAAATAGTAAAAGACTATAAATAACTACATCAGATATATAATTAAATTTACTAATAATATACACAAGATAACTAAAATATGTTTATTTGCGATTAAAACTTATACAGAGAAGCTTAAGGATGGAGTAAGATTAAACCTAATTCTTTAGTTGAATTAATAAATGATATAATATAAAAAGAACCAAAAAAAAGAATTGATATATAATAAATAAAAGAAAGAATAAGTTTGATTTAATAAGAAATTGAATAATAAAATAATGCTTAAATAATGTAAGTGTTATAAAATAATCAATAAAATAATAATAACTAAATAATTAATGAATATAATAAAAATAAATAGTTTAAAAATTTAAAAGAGAAAAATATAGAAGTAGAATATTAAAAAAACTAATAAATATTTGACTAATAATAATTTTTTTAAAATGATTAAAATCAGCTATTGTAAAATAATAATTAAATAATCGAAAAAATGTAAATATAGTATAATTAGTAATTAAAATAACAAATTAATTAATATAATAATCTTCTTAATTAAAAATAAAATTAGTATTAGTAATAAATAATGACTTTTGAATAAAAAATATAATAATTTTAATAAATTAATGAATAAATTTAAAAATAGTTATAAATAAAAATTGAAAATGAATAAAAAAATATTTAAATTATTTAAAATTAAGAATAATAACTTAATTAAAAATAATAAATTATTTTAAATATTTAAAAAGAACAATGTAATTTACAAATAAAATTAAATAATATGAATAATTAAATTGATGATTAAAAAATGTAAATATAAAATTTATAATAGTAAAACGATTAAAAAAATTAAGATATTAAATAATTATAATAAATAAAATAATAAGAATAAAAATAAATAATATTTTAAAATAATAATTAATTAGTTTTTATAAATGAAGACTAAAATTAAATATAAACATAAATATAATAAAATATATAAAAATAAATAATTAATAAAAATATTGATTAAAATAATAACCAATAGTAAAATTAAGACGATTTAAACCAAAAATATGAATAAATTTAATAAAAAAAGAAAGAAAATGTAAATATTAAAAAAAATGAAAATAATAATGAAGAATAAACAAATATAACAGATAAAATAATTAATAATATTTAAAAATAAGAAAAAAAGATAAAGATTAAAAAAATTGAAAATACATAATAAATATAATAATAATAATAATAATAATAATAATAATAATAATAATAATAATAATAATAATAATATCTAAAATAATAATAAATTCAATAATATGTAAATAATATTAGCAATGAATCTATTGATCAAAAATAAGATTAAATATTAAATTTGTAAATTTAAAATAATTTATTAAATTCTAAAATAGAATAATTAAAAAATGATCTTGTCTTAATATTATAATAATTTGAATAATATAAAATTGATTAAAACAATAATTATTAATAAGAAAAAAATATTTTAAATCAATAGATAATTAATAATAATTAAGTTATAAATTATTAAACTTAATAAATTGACTAATATAAATATTAATTATAATAATTTAATTATAAACTTTAATAAAACTTATGCAAAATTTGTTAATAAGGAATAAATTGTGATGAATAAATAAATATAAATAAAATTATTAAATAAAATAATTAATTAAAATAATAAATAAATAATTTCTAATAAAAAGAATAAATAAGCTAATAAATTTAATAATAATATATATAAGAATAAAATAATTTAAAAAATAAATAAAATCATTTAAAATAAATTATTAATTAAATATTTTAATTTTTGAAAAAGTATTAATCATAATTTGAATAAAATCAACAATAAAACTTTTATAAAGATTAAATTTAATAAATAATATATGGTGTTTAGCAATTATTAGTATAAATTGAATTGTGAAGATATATAATATGTTTATATATTTTCTAAAAAAATAATATTTTCAATTTCTAACTAATTATGATATATATTTATATTAAATATAAAAATATATATATATATATAATTTAATTATAATTTATATTTAATATATTAAATATTTTTTATTTTAATATATTAAATTTGAAATGTTTTTGAGTATAATTATAATTATTTTAAAAATATTTAGGTGCATAAAATTATATATGTAATTTTTCAATAAATTATTAATAAAATATATTTTTTATTTTTATTATTTTAAATATGATTACCTGTAGCAATTATAAAAAATTGGATGTTATATTTTTTTCCTTTTTTAATATATAAAACATCACATAAATTGTTCTTTGTTTTAATGTTTTTTTTATCTTTCATATATATTAAGTTCTCTTAAATTTAATTATATCTATTTTATAAATTAAAAAATTTATCTAAATCCATTTTAAAAGTAAAAATTATAAAACTTAATACTCATATAATTTTTTAATTACTCCATATATAAAATTATTATACTGTAAAAATTTTTATGTTATTCTTATAACTTAAAAGACTATAATATATAAAAAAAATTTAATATTAAAAAATAAATCCAAGAATAAAATTATATATAAGATTTAAAAAACATATAAATAATTTATAATAATAATATTTATAGATAAAATTAATTTTTAAATATAGAAATAGTATTATTTGATATGCTACATAAAAATATATAATACAAAACAATATAGTCATATAGTTTTTATTTTAAAATAAAGATTTACACTATTGTCAAATGATAATTTTTTTGTTTTATTAAAAATAAAAATTAAAAAGATAATAAAAATAATAAAAATTATGTAAAGATATAATTATTAATTCTATATATAGTAAATATTCAATATTTCTAATAAAATATATTTTTTTATATTTTTATTATACTTATTCTCAGCCGGGTGGCGCAATGGTAGCGCAGCAGACTTCTAATCTGAAGGTTGTGGGTTC